CAGCCACCAAAACAAGCTTCTCTCAGGACCTGGAGTCTGGCATCTCTTCCACTATGTCTGCAGAGCACTGGCCGTTAAAGCAGACATAAGTCTGTGTTATTCTCTGGTAGCTTAGGGCCCAAGTTTCACATCTGTCTTCCCTTAGGTGGAATTTACTGAGCCCAGATCTTGATCCTAGGAACAAGCTGGATCCAGAAAAACAGAAGAATCATGTTTTGAATTCATACATCTTCAGACTGCTTCGTCTATTTTTCTCTGGATCTAGCATCCTCATGCCTCAATTTCAGTAGAAAGGTTATATGTGCAACTGCAACCGCAATCAAACCTCCTGGTTGGTCATCTGACTAGTTCTCCCTCCACTGACTATTTTGAGTGATCAGCCTGGGAAGACAGAACACAGGCACCTAGTGAATCCCCTGGTGCTCACCTAGTGATTTCCATTGCATATGATTTTGCCCCAGGTTTTCAAAGTTTTCATGTGCATTATACTGGAATTCCCAAAAGATGGCAAAAGCAAATTCTGCCATTATAAGATGTTTTTTTTTCCTTTGTGCAGACTACAGGTAACCAGGACAGGAGAATGCTCTTGATTTCCAAGCAATATGAAATTAAGTATTACAGTATCTTTCCAGGCAGATCTGAACCTCAGCTGCCTGCAATTTTCTCTTACATCTAATTGATTCCTGAAGATATACGAGAGTTCATAAGGCAAGCTGACTAACTCTTGCCATAGTGAGTACTAATTGCCTGGACTCTCAAAATAGCTTACAAGAATAATACATGCTAACCACACATACCAAAACATAGCTCTATTAGTCAGTGCTCCAAGCATGATAATTACCCTCTCCATAGAGTATGGAGTGTGTATTACAATGCTCCAAAAATTCATTTTTAAATAATCAAGACACAGAATGGAGGGTGAGGTTACAAGAGTCTGGGTCACAAGAAGAATCTGGGTTAAAGCAGCAGAAGTTAAAATGGAAATTCTGAGATTACTTCCATTCTCAATTCTGCACATTTTGTTTCATTTATAGGATAACTAATTCAATGACTGAAAAAATAATTGAAAAACTTTCTTGAGGAGGAAGATTGAATACCACTGAAGTCCTGTATTTCGTATTTCCTTTTTCAGAACAGCTGTCAGAAAACAGCAGCACTGAGAGCTCATTAAAAAAAGAGCATGGAAGTAATGGATAAAGTAACAGATACAGCTTTTACTGAATGTGATAATTCCTCTCTTTGAAAAGGCATACTACTAAACCAGCAGTTGCAAATTCTTTTTAAAGAATCGACCTTCTGATCATTAAGGCAGATGCCCAAAGCCTGGGCAGACCAGTGGCTTGCATAGCAATTTCCTCAGCTCTTTTCACTGTTGAGCGAACTCATGATTAATTGTAGACAACTATAGTTAGGAGAGACAATCACAAACTTGTTTACCATTTCCCCAAGGGAAACACTTACTACCAGGTTCAAACACCTGTTCTACAAAACACAGGATGTACACTAGAGATCTTGTAAAAAAAATCCAAAGAAGAAGAGATTCAAACCCCCAAAGAAACAGAGATGTGGGTGTTCTATTGAAAGGGGAGGCTTTAATAAAAGGCTTTTGGGTTTTTGAACAAGGTTTCAAAAGGAGCAGTCTGCTTCTGGGAATGTGATATTCTCAATCAGGAAAACTGAGAAATATATATATAAACATTTAGAAGAAATACTGTTAGAATTGAGATAAAATAATTCTGCTGGAAAAGTCTCATTTCCTTCCCTCCTCCCACACACACACTTTGGGAACGAAAAGCTTCTAACAGCCTGTTGGAAAGGGAGACATTCCTTTCCATATCTTTTGCAACAGGCAGAGAAGATGTTGTACCATTGAGGGTGTGCATTTTGCTCAGTTGAGCATTACAAGGAGCACTGGGCTAACAGGCATAACAGTGAAGGGGTTTTATAACATCAGGGTTATATAACTTCTTGATTTTCGTAGATGGTTAGCAGCAGTAGAGCTGCATTGGACAATGTGAATTCATCTCTCAAAATAATATCATATGACAGACCAAGTGTATTCTGGCTTGATTTGCAGCAGGGGCTAGTATAGAATATCTCACTGCAGTGCAGCCATTCCCAAATCAAACTGAAGAAGTCAAAGATGCTTGTAAGTTACAGAAGTCGGGGGGGAGAAACCTTGTGTTTTCTGAGAATGTAGGCTCCTGGTACTTAATGAAAAGTGTATTGTAATGCAGAATTTAAATTAAATGTGTACCAGGAAGGAATTTTTTTTTGTTTTATTTATTTCTACATCTCAATGGCAGTCAGCATACAGAAAACATGATACAATGAGTTCAGCATGTGGGGCTAATCATGTAGTTAGGCGGCAATGTTTAATCTAGTTGAGGCCAGTAATCTCTGGATGTTGATGTGCAGTGTCATGCGCTGCCTTGTAGCATTTCCACATGGGAGATCTGTTACTTTGCAGCATTAGAATCTGCATTTTATTTCTTACTCTCTTATCTGACTCCTCAGGGATTCGGTAAATCCAGCAGTAATTTACGACTGTCATTCTCTCTGGGCTTTGACACATACACAGTCAAGGATTAAAATCAGGCTTCTAAAGCAGTTACCACTCACAGCCATGTGCCCTGCCCTTCTGATGGAGATTGCTGGTGCCACCGCTGTAAGTCTGAAAACCCAGTGAAGCAACTCCGGAACATCTCAAGCCTGTTTATTAAGGTACATAGATCCACTTTGAATTTAATGCTTGGCTGAGAAAGGCAGCAGAACAGAAGCTGATTCATAAATCATGCAGCAATCTCTGTCAGAGGTGGGGCAACAACTTGGGCAGCACCCATCTGAGCCATCTGATTTTACTCTGCTTCTTCATGTGAATGAACCCTTGGACTTCATCAATGTTTACAAGTTAGTAAATGGCAATCGTTCCAAAAACAATTGTTTCAGAACAACAGGGCTACTTCAGATGCTTTGCAGACTATTATTTTCCTGAGTGCTTTACAGGCTCTCAGATTTCATTGGTTACAATTATATTTTTTTTTACTTTTTTGAAATTTTCACAGCTTCAAAGCAGAAATGAGGGTTGGCTGCACATCCCCCTTTGAACCCCAATAAGGAGTGTGATCAGTCACTGTCTCTGCATTGGAAAAGTCTATCTCTTTCAGACACTTGGGTGCAAACTCAGAAGTATAATATAGAAAATTTTGGAGGCTTTTATTTACATTATTTCATTACAGAGTGAACAATCAAAGTAGTTGTTGATTTTAAATGATAAACTTTTATTCTGAATATACTGTTTTTGCACAAGAATTAACACAACAGTTCTAGGATTATAAACTTTTTATAACATTATTGTACAAATTTTTTACAAAAAATTATTTTTTCAGGCTTGTCAAGTTCCACAAAAGTGTCAAGAGAACACAAGAAAAGGGAGAAAGACCTGCTTGCCTTGTAGGAGCAACCAAGTCTTTTTTTGCAGAAACGCACACTGAGCATTTCAATAAAAATATCCCAGAAAGCATGATCCAGACATTCCATACAACACAAAAAGAGAAGACAGCTTTGTCAGATCATAATCGCAATTTCATGGCATCTGAACAAGACAGTATCCCTTTAGCCTCAGTGAAATTATTTCTTCAAGATGATGTTTTTCTTTTAAACCATAAACAGGACAGATGCAAGTAGCTGGGAAGAGGGTGAGGCTAACTTTTCAAAACTCTTGAATTGTTTTCAGACACTTTGTTTTAATCTTTTTACAGTAGTGTACAATGAGTATTAACAATATTAACATTGTGGTATGAAAAAAATAAATCTGGCCTTCGTTAAAGGCTAGGATGTCTGATGAAGCTAGGGTAAAATTTATCCTAAGGAAGGAGTTATTAAGATTTCACCTTCAGTCGACATTCCAAAAACACCCGAGTGCGTTGCAGTGCCTTGTGGGCATTAATATACTTCTTATACTTCTTAACTTTTAGGACCAGTGGGATTGAGGTTGTGTTTATAACCACTGCATTTTTAGGACCAGTGGGATTGAGGTTGTGTTTTGAAATTAAGACATACTCAGCACATTTTCTGAGCTTAAGTGTTATAGGGAACAAAAGGTCTTGATGTCGCTTCACTGATACTGAAAAAGTCTCAACCACAGCAAGTAACACTTGGGTTGCAAAGGTCACTTAAAAGGGATACTGCCTATTTGAACCCAGTAAGGCCAGTTTTTAAGTTAGTAAAAGGAATATTATAGGAAAACTTACAAATGGCAGCAACACTGGTTTTTTTGTTAAGTTAAGCAGTAAAGCCTCAAGCGTTAGAAACATGAAAAAGATCATACTAAAATCTTAAAGGTACAGGACCTAAAAATCTTGTCAATCAAACCTGCTATGTCATGTTAAAAACCTGTTACAAATATGGACCACGGTCAGTGTTCTGGCAGTAATGCTGGTTGTTTAAATGAAAAATTAGAAAGAAACCTTTCATGTTAAGTCCTCAGATCATGTTTTGCACAGTACCATGCTGTAACAACTTTAATGGTGGTTATTTGTGAGATATACAATAGGCTGCATGACTTTTGTATAAACTGAAACAGTCCCAACGGTTCCCTTAGTGCTATTTAAAGGATCTGAGCAAATATTAGCAGAGCTTTTTATCTGGCTTAAAAAAAAAAACCAAACAGATCACCTTTTTACAACATATTGTAATTTGAAAATGTCTCAATTTAAAGCCTAGGATCAAATTTCTTCTCTCACAGACAAGAAAAGACGACTACTATGCATTATGTGAGAATAAGAATACTTTTCTACATGAGAATACACATCGATTCATAGAAGTTATTTCTAACAGATTTATATTCACATTTTGAGATACCTAAAGTACACCTCGCATTTTCTATCTGTGTTTTGTAATTTACAGATACCTAGGGAGAGCATTTTAAACAATTTTGACCATCACTTGGATATAATCAAAATATATATTGTATTCTGCAAAAAGAAACTAAAATTTCATTTTTTCCTAAGCCCTTCTGAGAGGGCCAGATCCTGAGTTTTCTATCAGACAAGTATAATAGCTGGAAGGCTGTGTTTATACAGAAACATGTTACTTCACGTCATATAGAGGGGCAGAGCTAAAAAGGACATTTCACTCTTTGGATAAGCTAAGAAGGCCAATGTGTCTGCATGGCCTTCTCCCTCTTTTTGTATTTGAGCACTCTTAAGGGAAGTGGGATGAGAGCAAAAGCCATGGTGTTTTCTGTGTCAGCAGGGCTTTGTGCCACATTTCTTTCTGGCTACAGACTCTAATCAAATGTTTATTAAGTAATCCAAAACACAACTTACCAGTATAAGCAAATTGTTCGAAAATGCTAAATGATGTAACTTTTCCATGAAGGGTTTCTTTTGGGAAGATAAGTGAAAATTATAAAGAAGTCAATATACTGGCAATCTTTCAATAAATTAAAAGAGCAAAATGCAAACTAGTTATATATTTTAAATAATCTTAGAGTAAAAGCTGTGAGTATAGTCAGTATTGGCCTAATCCTACAAAACCTGTTCCTCCCATAAAATTTGAATAGAACATGTTATGGAAAAACACAGGATGCAGTCTCAGCATTAGAAAGACTCAAACTAGTTTTTAATCAAGGAGTAACTGGTGATAGGGTGAAGAGAAGTGCAGTAATATGACTGGAAGGAAGAACTCCAAGATTATCTTCGCCCATATTGTCAAAATTAGTTCATCTTCCCTGAGGAGGACCTGAAGTCATCCAACAGTTAATTGTACTTTTAACTCCACCACTTTACTAGAGATATATCACTGAAAAAAAGCTCAGGGTCTATTTTTTGCACTCACTGTATCCCAAACATGATAAAATACATTGCTGGAGCCAAGGTACATGAGAAAAACAACAAACCGGCCATGGGTACAACTACAGTAGACATCTGATCTTTTAAGCCATGCCATGGCTTTAACTTCTTCAGTTTTCATAGGATATTAATGCATGCCCAATTATTTCTTTAAGCTTTTGGCATGATCAAAATTATATCAATCAATCGCCAGCATATACATACCAATGCTTTGCATTGTCTTATTTTTTTAAAGAGCTAGTGTATTGTGCCATGTTAATATTTGCATATTGCAGTTGTTAGCAGAACTGTACAATACCAGCAGAGCTGCACATTCATTGGTTTAGCTGTCTTGCAATACTGTTTAGTTCTGAAAACTAGAAAAAAGCGCAAATCATATTTTGCATCAACACTATGCTACACTGTAATATTGTAATTTACTGCACCAATCTGTATCACCAATGAGGTTGTATAAAAACAACTTCTAAAATTATTATTCACAATCAAGTATCAATGTGCATACATATAGATTCAAGGCTCCCCGTTTGTTTAGATTTTTTCTGATCTCAGCAACCTGGACATTTTGCTGTTAAATATGCTATTTTCAATAATAAATAGCAACAGCAGAAGTTTTCATGTCATAGGTGGTTTTATATGAAGGAAACAAAGGGGGAACCTTATATGAACTTTAGAGAACATATACTTTCAAAAATAAATGTGTTAAATCTGATTTTTATATACTTAAAATATCTGTACACAGGTTTTCATGTGAGATCGATATTGTGTAAAAAATTCAACTCAACCCTTTTGTTATGATAGCTAAATTTACCCTATTTTCTCAGCTTTTTCATTGCACAGTATATTCAGAGCTCTGTTTCATAATATAATTTAATATGATTTGATTGCAACACATTGCAATGTTCAGTTTCTCACACAATAAAATAATCACTCAGTTACCTTTTCAATGGACTATACTCTACCATCAAAGAAAACAAACTGAAAAACAGTAACATAGCATCATCATCATGCAAAATACCCTTGGAAACCAACGTTCAAATATCACAAAGACATTTTTTATTCACAAGCGTTTTTGTTTGAGCCTTTGAAGGATTCAACTAGCTTTATATATAACTGCATTGTGAAAAGGAGGTGAATATTACATTGAAATTAACATTTTTCTGACAGAAGATGACACCAGGTTTATGATGAGAATCACTTCTTAGTTAAACTCTCAAGCACCTTTATATATTTAAAACCAGAAGTTTCCTTCTTTACTTCTTTCCCTCCCTCTTTCCTTCCTTCTTTCCCTCCTTCCTTCCTTTAAAATAACAATTTATCCAATTTATCAACCTACCAAAACTTAACTGGCTACATGATTCATTTTGGAAGAATAAACCACTCATCATAAAGCATTTCAATCATGCTGAACTTCTGACAAAGACTAACCAATATTTTCATTTTAGTCAACTAGTAACTAGTTTGAACAAAACTGATGTTTAAAGCAGCTGTCATGGTGCTAATAATGTATATTGGGGAGTATGTTTTCTTTTTTCTTTTTGTTTTTTTTTTTAAATAACTGTTCATGTAAAAGAATATAAATCTTCAAGATATCCAAAGCTTAAAAGAAATGGAAATCATATACATAAGCTATTATCAGGGGAGCCCTTTTACATGAAGTTATCAAGATTACAACAACAAACAAACAAACAAACAAACAAACAAAAAAATCTTAGATTCCCCGATGGAGCACGTACAGAATTCTGTTTGGATGGCATAGATGATGCAGCATTCACACACGTTTAAGTATCTGACACTCCAACATGCAACCACCTTGGGTGCCTTTATGAGTCTCACAACGAGTGATTACCAGACACGAGCACTGCTGTTCTGCTGCTGTCTGAATAGCTGACCCTTTTAAAATGAAACTGAGGCTATCGTTTTGGCCGGGTCTTGATTAAGTTACGCAGGTTTTGGTTTAGCAAGGTCATAACTGGCAGTGTCTGCTGCCAGATAACAGCCAAAGCAGGACCAACTGAATTCCTACCATAGACCACAGTGATGGACTCAGACCAGAGGCACCACCGCAGTCAGCAGAATCTTCCTGTTGGCAAGAAAAGAAAAAAATCATTTAACATCAATTAGAATGAAATTTCCTGAGAAGTAATCTACATTTTAGTCTTCAACATTTTGAACTATCCTTGAGGGATCCTTTTTGGTCTTATATATGTTATTTTTCCTAAAATAACAGCAAAATAATTCCTGGAAGTTTGGCTGATTTTTGATACAAAGAGTAGTGTGACTGCATTAACTATAAGTGTGGGAGGACTAAATACTTACAAAGCTTACCGCAGCCACTTATGAACTAGATGGAATACTTAACCAAACAAGAAATGCTATGGGACATACCTGGGGGGCCCAGTAAACCACATTATATTCCTTAAAATTACCTCAATTTTGAGTATCACTTTATTATGAGGAAAGGTGGAAGAATAGATAACTTTTCAAGATTAGAAAACAAATACCAGAATATGTTCATGTCCATTTCAACAACATGATCACACATTAAAATGAATATGTTCTGCAGGTGAAGATATGATCAAAGAGAATGAAAATCCTTTCTCTGTCTCTGATGTTGTATTCAAGTATGTGAACCAAATTTTCTATTGTTTTTTTGTACACATTTGATGCAATCTGTAGAGAAGACACCTTCCAGTTTGTGGTCTCGTTCTGAGGTGCTCAGCAGTCACGCATCAGTGGACCTAGTTATTCATTATACCACACAGCAATTACGCTTCTTTTTCTCCATTCCCCTTTACCACTAATTGTTCTTATTTGGTCCACTTTATCTACAATGCATAACATCATTCACAGTGTCGACTTATTCATGAATCTGGCTGAAATACATTTGATACCTGTTCTGAAGTCTGTAACATCTTTATCCCTTAATGTTTCCCAGAACTGATGTAATATATGTTTGGGTGCCTAAAACACCAGGACAATGTTCCAGCCATTCCCTGCACCGCCCTGTCCACAAGTCTAAGATTCATGGATAGCTCTGAAGGCTGAAAATATTTGGTTTTCCTCTTGGTTTCAGTGTATTCTGTACCCACAATATAAAATGACACTTTCCATTTTCCAAGGGGTCCCAAGCCTCCAAGAACAAGTCAACAGTGAAGGTAGGAAGGGACTTAGATATATTAGGAACTGGGGAAACTTCCTGAATGGGAGGAACATGTGGAGGGAAGGACAGAGTGCACCTTAACAGTAACAGAGCCTGTCTGCTGGCACAAAAATTAAAAAAGTTTTAGAACAGAAAGCAGAGGAAAGCCAATGAGCATGGAACAGCTCCTGGTTCAGAAGGACGGGCCACTGAGGCATATGTTACCAATATTCAATGTGCCTCTGAAAAGGCTGGGGATTTAGGGATAAAAAGTACAATCATAATAAATAAGAAGGGTCATTAAAACACCTTCAATTTGTTGGCACATCCTTAACCAAAACTTTCATGTGCTTCTGCATCAATGTTAGGAACATAAAATTAAGATGGGGAAATGAAGACAGGTCATCAATGAACCATCACAAAATAATACACATATCAGAAATCTGGTGGAAGGAGAATAATCAGCAGGACAGAGCATTGTCAGGCTACCAACTTTGTAAGAATGGCAGTGCAAGACACATAGCAGAAGGGTAGTATGAAAGTGTAATACCATAAAAGTATCATAGGAAAAGGAAAGTATGATGGAATCTCCACGGGTAAGAAATTTCAGAGTCTAATAATAAAAATGTAACACTAGGATTGCACTGCTGACCACCTGATCAAAGTGACAACATCAATCATTAAATGTTATGAGATTTGGGAAGCCACATATAGACTGGATCAATGCCTTATCAAAAGGAGATGTAGAGATCACATTTTTGGATATGATAAATGACTGCCTTTTTGGGACAAACAGTCTCTGACTCTTTAGGGCCCTCTTCAAAACTATTAGTAGAGAGCTCTGTACAGCTCTAATAGCTCCACAGACCACAATGCAATAGGATTTAGCATTAGATTTTAGGCAGTTAAAAATCCCCAAACAACCCAAAACCCAAGAAAAAAGAAAAAAACTCTTAACAAACAAACAAAAACAGATAGCAGGAAAAAAAAAACAAAAACTAGAAGCGTCATCTCGAAAAGTAAGCCCCTCACAAGTATCTGGAAGATTATTTAGAAATACTGTATTACATATCCAGGTAAAATGAATACCACAATTAGAGTAACTAACCTTATACACCAATCTCTCCCCCAGAAACCCAATCCCAAAATAAATGAAAAAACACAAACACACACAGCCTGAAAAAACCCAGAACAAAACTAAAACGCCAAAGAAACACCCAGCATGAATCAGTAGGGAAATTAAGTACACTGTCATAGGGAAAAGGTCAGTATTAAGAAATTGAGTTTAGTCAAATGGGCAAGAACAGAAAAGCACATAAAAATGGCAGATTAGATATAAACAGGAAATTAGGAGGGCTGATAAAGAATTTTTTATGACCTCCCTGAAAAATATGCTCAAAATGATAATAGTAAGTTTTGAATAAATCAAAAGCATGAAGCCAAATACAGAGTTAGGGCAATTTCTTGATAACAGAGGTGTAAAGAGGGATCTTGGAAATTACAGGGCAGAGCAAACAACTCCAACAAGCTCTTTGAAGAGGTTTTAAGGAGTGAAGACTTTAATAAGATTCCCACCACACACAATGCATCATTTAAGGCAGAGAGGTCAGATGAATCAGAATCAGTCTGGAATAAATATACAGAAAATCAGATAAAGCAGGCAAATTAGACTCAATACATCACCAGGCATTACAGCATTCACCAACAGTGTCCTTTCAAAATTGGGTGTAAAAACAAAAGAAAAGAAAACAAAAACCAGCATTCAAGTTTGTCTGGGAAAAAAAAAAAAGAAGGAAAAAAGTATTTTTTCATTCTGTCCTAAAGCAAATAGCTCACATTACCTGGAAATGGCTACTATTGATAAAAGAACAGCATCTATGTCTCTATTAGCTTTATAATTTAGTTTTATAATTTTGGCTTAGTTTTTGTTTGTTTGGTGGTTGGTTTTTTTTTTCAGTTGATTACACTCTACAAGTTCAAAATTCCTAAGGTTTCCGGTCAACCAGTAAGTCATAAGTGAACTCTGCTACACCAGATTTGGAGTAGGATGCTAAGATTTGAAGATGCACTGAACTTTCTGGTTTATTTAGTTTGGCTCTGTCACTTTTTGCATCTGCATTGTGTCTTGTCATGTTGCTTTATTTCTATTCAAAGCACCTAAAAATAACCCTGTTGCTTCTTGCTCACTCTGAGAACCATCAGAAACAGAATTATCAGTAAAGGTTTCTTCTCACATGAATTCAATGAACAGTACCCAGTGTTACCTCTTGGTATTTAAGATGTTTATCACTGAAATTACTTAGAAGAGTCATCCTTGAAGAAATTGTCTAAGGTAAAGCACAAAGTTTAAAAATTTTTCAGAGGAGAGAAGTCTGGCGAGTAAGAAAGAAGTAAATGGAAGGTCTTAAACAAAATTGTGTATAATAGGAAGGGGGAAATATCATTAAAAATGGCATCCAGTATGGATACAGGCTAGACAGACCTCCACATATAGAAATATGCAGTAATCAGCTTCCATGTAACTGCTGTGTTAGACCAGGTATTGGGTAAATTATGTTGATCCTACTACTATATGTACCTGAAAAGGAAACTCCATTCTATTGCCCATTTCTATTTGCTATTTGAGATTTTTTTTTAAACTGCTTCCCAATTTATGGGCACTGCTTTTACATTTGACAATTAGATTATGCAATATTCCTATTGGATTGAAAAGAAATGTTTTAATATCTTTTGCTCTCTCCCTAAGACAACACGGAGCAGTTTTTAAAGGATTCACAACTTCAGAACAGTGGAGAATGTCTTGGAAGCCTCATGCAGGAGAAGAATCTTCTTATTAGGAATGACAGAGTTAAGCCATACTAGACAAAATTATACAACATTTATACACATATTTCAAGGTTGCTCAGTTTTTAACCTCATATTGATCAAAGTCACATTGAATTTCTGAGGTTTGTAGACCAATTTGCAGTGGTAAACCAGCAGTTCTGCCAAGAACAATTTTTAAATATTCTCTCTGGAATCAGTTATTATTTTGTGTCCTAAGCCAAGATAAAAATAGTAGTGGCAATGAAGGTACGGTAAATCCTATATAAATTATTTTTTCCTCCCCAGCATTGCACATTGTAATTTTCTTGTGTGCTCTAACTGTTGTGAAAATTACAAGAAATGTAAAAAAAAAAAAGGAAGATAACATCTGGTTACATGCTCATTTATATAAATTTTTAAAAATTCATATTTTTATGGAAATGAGTGGGATCCCACCATTACTTTGCAACCAGATTTAGGAAAACATTAATTTGAATGGTCTTCAAAATGTCTTTATTAAAGCCTGAGCTTTAAGAAGACTTCTCAAATGTTGCCTGTAAATGTTATTTTTGAAATTTCTTATAACATTTCTTATAACAAATTACATAGTAACATTTTATCATATCTTTACCTTATCTTTGCTTTACCTCTGCCAGTGCAATTAGACACTGAACTAATTTTAAGCAGTTTCACTGAAACTTTCCAGCCCATTACACTAGTGACTACTGCACCAATTACAAAGAAAACCTGAATAACCAATAGATCAGTTGCGGATGTCCTCTCTTTGTTGTCTTCTAAATAATATTCTGTATATTATTTCTCTTTGAAGACAGAAAACAATGGAAAAGAAATTAGAAAGAATCCTTTTTAGCCAGTTTCATTTCAGCAAAACTGTATCAGAAATTGCTTGCATTAATAAGTCACATGTCAAATTTCCTTGCATGCTTGAGGTAGAGAACCGTCAAATCCAAATGTCATCTCCTTCATGTCATGCCTTGCTATGATAACTCTAGAGAGAGTTATTTTACAACATCACACAGTGTGAAAATTATTCAACACTTGTAGAATGGCAGTGAATGCTTCTATAAAATCGTATCTTCATTGCTAAGTATCAAACCCACATACTCATTACTATATATCAACATTTCCTTGAAAGCAGTGCAGGTCCAGAATTTTAAAGACACACATGTAAATATAAAAACATATATATATGTACATGATTAAGCCTAAAAACATACTTGTTACTCCTTTAGAAGTACACTATAACTATTCAATGTACTTGAACTTTGTCTTGTAACCTTAATAATCTTTCAGAACCCATTATGCTACAATGACTATTAAAAGGAAAAAAATGATATCTGTCAAAGAGATTCTTATCTGGTCCTTGATATCAACTCGTTACCTCAAAATTATGCATTTTATATGCATATATTTTAAAAGCTTCATATTGCATGGAGAAAACCTTTGCTTTTACTCAAGAGTCATTTCAAGTTTCAAAGTATGGTCTTTCATAAATTTTGTGTTACCCTCTTTTGTCTGGGCTACCACACAAAGCTGTCAAAGTTGTACAGATGCCCACATATAGATCAGGGCTACAGCCAATACAGTCATCTGGGCTGCTGATCACCCCCAGAGCTCCCACTGACATCCCTGGGAGCTGATGGAAATAAGACATTCCCAGAAGGAGCTAAAAACCTGTAAAGTTCTTTCTTTTTCTTCTGAGACATGGCAGGCAAAACCAGTGTGCATGTACAAAGTAAGAGCAAGCTATTCAAGGGGGTGATAAAGACTAGTTTGTTATCCTTAATAAAAAAAATAAAAAAGAATGCTGCTGTTATTGAACCTGATCAGCTGGTTTGTATCTGTGTTGGCTTCAGTGATTTTAATAAAACTACACAGATTAACGTCCACCGAGAACCCATTTTTAAAATCACAGTTATTAAAAACAGGATGGATGAACAAAATTCCCTTTATAACTTTCTGCTGCCAAAACTTTATCAGCTAAAATTATATTCCATGGGTTTCCCAGTATTTTGGTTTGCCTTTTTGAGCAGACCCTTTTGGACATAAAGAAATCAGCTCAAGGTGAGTCTCTGCTGCTTTATGTACATTGGACAGTAGCTATTTAATTAAAACAAGGTTACTTGCAGAGCAAATTGCATGAGTAAGAATATGAGATGTTAATCTTCTAGATTTCAATGTGAAATACAACTGGCTTGGGGAAAGGGACTTTCAACCTTCCTTACAACCTTCAGCCATGGCTGTGCAAGTTCCTAAGTTTGCTGGAAGTTAGATGACTTAAGTACAGAATAGTAAACTCCAAAATTACTCAAATACAGCAGTTAAATGGAACTTTTTCCACTGATGTTCAAATGATATTAAGTTAACTTTCCCCCAAGTATAAAGAGAACATAAATTATTGAAAAAATGAATGTTCTAAATTGTTACATTTTTTAATATTTTACTACACTAACTCTAAAAAATTATTTCTAAGGTTCCATTTCTGCCTCTCAGTTGGCTTTACTTTGATAGATATGTTAGTATCTCCCTCTAGTGGTTTTGTGAGTAATAATATTGATCAGAAACCCCTCTAGTGTACAAGGTCATTATTTTATTCTCACTAGATCAGCAAAATATATCATTAGCACAGTAGTGCACACTCTCACACTATTAAACATAACACAGTCTAAAATGCCAAGGCTTTCATGATGAACCCCAGAGTTTGTACAAAGTCAACATACAGCACTTCATGTATCCATGTATTTAATTAGAAGAAGGAAACCTACCTTCTGCTGTAATAAGGCAATGAATATGTTGAGGTTGCAAAAAGTTAAAAAGTGAAAATATGACTTTACTGAATTCATTCTTTAACCAAATTGATGCACACTGTTATCTTCCATCATTAGCATTTGTGTTAACTTGAATGCAGTGCCAACTCCTTAGTCTTGATATCAACGCTCCCATTATTCTTACACAGAGCACTCATCTTCGTTATCTCTAAGTAGAGCTTTATTTTCACAGGTATTATAATCTCTTCTAATTACTTCATACCTTTGTCTCTGTGCATAAAACCTTCTTCTTCTATTTCATTTCAACAGGGACAAGGGAAAAATGTTTTGAAGGGAATGGCACTGACTCGGTACCTGTGCAATCTCAAAAGAGTCAACCATATAAGCCCAACAGGTTCCTGTGTCTTTGTATTTGCTATGGGAGAAGCTTTGTGTTCTGTAATTCTGATTTATAAGGCTCCAGACAGGGTTTTTTCATATTTAATTTCCCTTAATATTGCAATAATAATTTGCTCCAGATTGTTGCTTTTAGGGCTCACTTCATTCTGTTTTCTTTTGTATGCTTAGTAAGTAAAAAAGTCTGCTAATTTTTTAAGCCAAGAACAAAACAAAAAATTAGAGAAAGTAACTGACCATCCACACCACATGAAAACTTGCAGAAAAATGAAGATAGGAGCGGACATCATGGCAGAGGCACGACTCGTTGTGCATATAGGCTGATCCTATTAATAACGGGCAAAGTAGCAAGTAGAGGAAAGGAAAGAAAACACAGAAAAAAAGACATACAAGATGAGATATCATGCAGATTGCTGGCAGTTAGCAGAGTTAATGTGAAAGCATCCACCCAAGAGCAAGAGATTCACAGCAAATTTTGCAAATAAACTTAACCAAAACAATCCACTGTTACAAAACACATGACTTACACACTGATTAGCACATCAAGCTAGTGAGCAAGAGTTGTACTTTCACACACAATCGTATCAGGAGGATTTGGAACATTTAATATGGACAAATAGCTTTTTGGATGGTTTTTCAACTCTGTTTAACCTTTGTTGGCCAGTAAGAAGACTTCTTTTTTAACGTACCATTTGGTTACTAGAAAAATGCATTGAATACCAACCATTGGGACTTTTTTAGCACTACAGACATCTCATTATGCCTCATTAAAGAAAAGCAGAGAATATACTGGATTAAAACCTGCAACACAGCAATTACAGCCAAATAACTGCACTAGTTTGGGCAATTTTTCATTTGCAAAAATGGGATGAGGCATTAAAAATGCATTTTTTTAAATATTTGATTTATATGATGGCAGGTACTTCCCTTTAAGTACATTTTGTCTTGAAACTTATTCTGAACAATTTGAATTCAACATATTTGCTTTCATACAGCAGTTTGAAAGGTAAAACAGAGATTATATTCAACGTAAATTATGTATGTGGCACAGTTATAATTTTTCTCCTTCAAAACTTTGATGTATACAATACAGGGAGTATTAAACAGCGTAGTTTTGCTGATTTCAGTAAAGTAATGCAATTTTATACCTGTTCAGAATGTGACCTAAGGTCAATACATATTTGTAGAATTTCTAAGAGGAACAGCATCCTAAACCAGATATAAAGTTTTTAATCATTTAACAACATGTTACATAATATTTGGAAATGCTAATATAAAAATACTGCCTCTAAGCCAGGATTATCATCTAGTTGTGAAAGCCATTGAAGAACTGAATTTGACAGTATTTGACAGATATTTTATTTGACAGAATAAAACAGAGATCATTAGTTTTATGCTTGCTGATGGTGGTTTTTTTTAGTGGGAATCATGTGTGAAAGTGCAATGGTTATAGGAAAGGCAGATAAGAAAGCAGCTGTTAATTTTATGTTAATAATGGGATATTTGAAATAGAGTGGGCTATGGTCTGGGCTGAACAGTATGTTTAGTGATAGATAGAAAGGTTACCAGGCACCAAGGTCTGTTTAAACATAGTTTTCACTGCTCTTCTAAAACAGCTCTACAATCGCTTTTAAAGATAGTCCTAAAGTCTTACAAGTTCAATTTTACCTGTTTGGCTTCGTCAAAACAGACATCAGGACCTTTTCTGTATCTAGGTTGTTTGACCATTTCACATGGATTTGGCCCTTCATCTGTTTCTGTGGTTAAGGTTCATGACTGTTTTTCATGCAGGATTAACATTCTGTTTTTACTTGTATGGGAGACGTTTTATGCTAATTCAGATAGTACTGAAATAAACATCAATAGTCACAGTTCCTTGTTTAAATTAAAGAAAATCAAACCAAACCAACCCTCCGGATAAATTGAAACCAGATACTTTTTTTTTTTTCACACTGCTTTAATCAAGAAAATAAACATCCTGCATGAGTTTGTAGAACCAGTACTTCCAGAACTGTAGACAAAATAGACACAAAAGTTGAGGTTTTTAAAGATCTTCTGCATTGCTTTTATTACCATTGCATAAATATTACAGAAAATCTTTGATAAAGTAGTAAATTTTAAATGGTGCTTATTGGTTATAGCATATGTTACCACTAAGTTATTCTGCTAAAATGAGATACACAGTGAAGTGAGAAGCCTGTTTGGAAAAGTAATGTTATATACGTGCTGAAAATTGCAATGAAGCCTATAAGAACTAAAGGTTTTATTATATGTACACCTATATTAACCCAAATATCACAGACAAGATCATCCCAGTGTAGGCTTTGATAGTAAATGACAGAATACATAATCAGATCTCATTAACAGTTCAGTGCTGAAGGAAGACAGAGAAAATGCTGTCCAAACTAACAGCAGAACAGCAAGATAGAAATGGGAGCAGTGACACGGTATTAATTAGCTAACTGTAAATGTGAGGTAATGTGTTAGCTTACATATCTGAAATCTGTAATTGCTGATATTTAAATGTAAATAATATACTTCACATTAGCCACAGGCTAACAAGGGACACAATTCATTGCAGTAATCTTGAAAAAGCAACTGCAAAACCATCTTCTATTGAAACCTGTTTATATTACCTTTCAGCATGTTAAGCTTTTTTGATTGCACTCTTGGAAGTACACACATTAAAGCTAAGCTAGACTGTTTTATAAAAATTGAGTGCCAAAACTTTATTTTTCTTAATAGCTCTGACTTATATCTGAAGCAATCCTACTAATGGCCAACTGTGGAGTATTACAGCAGCCTCAATGCAATCAGTGGAGATGCCCAATGGAAGAGAAAGCAAGAGGACAGAGAATTTAGTTCTATAGATCTACATCTGTCTTCATTCAGATATTATGAGTCTCACCTCCCCTCTCCTCTGCCGGGGCCCAGTTGAAAGGGAAGTCAAAACTTAGAATTATTCTAAAAGACCATGTGCACAAGCAAAGCTGTACCAGCCAGAAGGAAGCAGAGTCTAATAATAACCATGTGAATAGCACCCAAAGGTCATTCTGTCTGCTTGTGTGATGTTATGCTACATCTGCATTTCACAATGTACCTTAGTTATAGAAAAAAGAGAATAGCTTGGTCCTGCATAGTCAGAACAAAAATAAAATAGCCCTTTTAGTCAACCTAAGCCCACCCAGCTGCTCTGGCTGCCATTTGACATCATTTACTGCTTTCTAGAAGGTTTAGGCTCCGCAGGGAAATGCAATTGATGTGCCCATTTCCCATCAAATGTGCTTCATTTTCTATAGTGAGTGCTGTCTATAAATTCAGACAGTGGCAGCAGTTAATCAAACTGTCACGGACTGGAGCCAATTAGAATATTAGGCTGTGTTTACATAGTTCAACGATGACACAGATATTGCTTCCACCCCTATGTAACTTCCTTTTCAGCCCAAACGTAGGTGAAATTCCAGTTTTATTAGTGTGGCAATGAACACATCATTTGTGCCAAAGAAACACAGTCATTTTTACCACCGTCTGCTTTTCTTTCAGGAGTGGGAGAGGCTGTCTCAACTAACTTCCTGACATGGACAAAGGTATTACTAATTGTTTTCCGTATTCTGTCATAATAATCCAAAACATGATTTGATTTACCGTCTCTGGTATGCTATCCTCAAGCATATAGAGCAGAGAAAAATTGTGGTGCATTTCTCCTGGCCTAGAAAATGTATATGGTGGTTTTCTGTATTTCCGTTACCATCACCTACAGGTGTCTACTGGAGTGAACAGGTTAGGGGCATAGAGATTGGTATGAAGGTGGTTTTAAATTAGAACAACCTTTCACATAATTTTAATATTAATGCTTATGTTGCCAGTACTCTGCTTAGCAGGTATGTCATCTCTGTCTCCAGTCAGCTCTGAAGAAGTTCTATGCTAGCAGCTGGATAATCTCTAGCCTTTGATGGTTAAAGCAGTTTCCACAACAAGTAAGCAGTTCTCATTGGCACTGAGAACACACTAAAGTGCCTCCCTCACTTCACCTCAGTGTTGCAGGCATCAGGGCAGCATCCCAACTTTTTGTGATCAAACACTCTTATCTTGGTGTCATCCTCTTTCATTATTTCTCTAGACAGACATACCCTTATCTTTTCTAAAGGCTGAACAAACCCAGGACTCTCAGGCTCCCCTTGCCTCTCCTGTGCTCCAGATGCCAACTACCTTGGTGGTTTCCTTCACTGTACTTCCTCCAGTATGTCAATGTGGTACTGGGGAGCCCCAAACTGTACAAAGCACTCCAGATGTGGTCTCACCAGTGCTGAAGAGATGGGATGTATCAATTCTACCAACATGCTGAGTATATTTTTGCTAACATAGCCCAGGATGTGACTGGGCCTCTTTATGGAAGGCACAGTGCCAACTGATTTTCAACTTCTTGTCCATCATGATCCTCAAGTCATTTTCTGCAAAGCTGTTTCTAGTCACTCCACCCCCAGCCGGTCCAGCTGCATGTCATTATTCTGTCCTGGATCCAAGATATTGCATCTGCCTTTTGGAAACCTTGTTAAGTTCCTGTGAGCTCATTCCTGTTTAGGTCCTCACAAATATCAGCTTTGCTCTGTACCTCAGTGGCTGCTGCTTCAGATGATTTGTGATATCACCCACAAATACCTGCTACTTCAAGTACTCCGATGGCAACCACGCTACTAATATGTACATAAACAGGCCATTTTTTTCCAAATACATTCCCGTATATCATAGCCAAAAATCAATCCACACTACTAAATAACGTGGTTTTAAAGGATACCCGGCTTCTCCGCTTGCATCAGTGGCTTTGGGTCACAGGAGCGGCACAGCAGTTGGCTGTCACTAATAATGAATACTAGATTGGTGTTTGAAATCTTCTCTGCATGATAAAGTCTGGAAAAAAAGCCAAGAAAAACCTATGTTTAAATGAAGCAAGGAAATCCGTATTTGAGAAGGACACACAGTATTGGAATAAAAGTAATCCAACTTCACAAATTCAGTCCGTCTGCTACTGTTTATCTTTTCCATTAACAAACAGCAAGAAACATTTATAACAAATTTTGTAATCTTTTTGACATTTCCACGGTTCCCCCTTTCAACTAGACTTAGTAGTGGAAAAAATGGGAAAGAACATAAAATGACTTTAATTGAGTTAATAGCTAGCTCTGTATGGCTACAACAATAGCTGTACTGAGAAATAAAAAAATCAGTTCAGCCTCAATTCTTCCCCTATCAACACTGAGGAACCCCCCATTCACAAAAACAAACAAACAAAACCCCAACACATAAACCGGTCTGTAAGAAGGGAGAGAAAGAGGTTTAGGGTATGTATGCTGTGTATTGAACGTGTATTATTTGTATTTTTATGTACATATTATTCCACAAAAGGCCTCTAAGTCAGTCGGGACAACAGAGAAAAAAAAATCTTAATATTTATTAGTCATTAATAAAATATACTCTACCTGACAAAAGGAGGTAAATTCAGGACAATCTCACAGGTTAATTGCTTTTAGTGGATTCTAAATGCATTTTCATACATATATAACACGACAAGCAAGTCTTTTCATAGAGGTGGTTACCATTCTATATAAGCAGAGTTTTATTACCTAAGTGTGAACTGATCAGATTATTTCTGAAATTTCACAGATGAACAGTTCATACCACTGACTGGGTACAATAAGAGGACAAAATATCTGTTAATTAAATACCTGGTGTTGTGATTACATATCTGGTTGTTTTAACCAGCATAAATTGTCCCTTCATACTCATTCCCAGACTGTGGCAATATTTTTGCAATATTAGCATAATAATTTCTGCAGTCTTTCAGTAAACTGAACTAAAGAACTCTTCTCAAAACTCTCCAGATTAAAAACCCCCACAACCAAAAAACCCACCTTACGAGTTTCTGCACAACCAGGTCCCACACAAACACATACAAGCAACATGGGGAAGAAGTATGGAAGTGGGAAAAAATGTCTGGATGTTTTGGCTGTATTCACCATTCCCCAATGTTCTCTGTCTTTCTTTCCTGGCTTGAAATACTGTCTTCAAGGAGTTTGAAATCTGACTGTTAATTCTAATTTCTAAGACATTTTCAGAAATTCCTAATGTATGGAAACTTTCAACCCAGCATGTTTTTGTATGAAATACAAAATTAGGTCCAAGTTGCTATGTTGCTGAAGTATCTGGTTTTTTTTAACGTAAACATAATCTTGAACAGGCACATGGCACCTGAAGAGTAATTCTTTTAATCACAAAACAAAACAGCATGGTTTTCTTAATAACACCCACAGCTCTTAAACCATGAGCACTGTTGACTGGAAGGTAAGTTTGAAGACAAATTGCATAATCTCTTGGCCATCAAAAATTCTAATACATAACCAGAGTAAAGAAAATAATATTCTTTTGAGTACTGCAGAATGCCTTTAAATTCACATAATAAATTAAAAGAAAATAAATTGTAGCAGAGATAGAAATACAGTTTTAATGTAGTAAATACAGACTAAAACAAAAAAATGACTAAAATATTTCTATAATTCTTCAGTTATTACAATTAATTCATTCAAAACAAAGAAAATGCAATTTGTCATTTTACTGCCTCTATACTTCCTTGTCTTCCTTATGTAAGTTTGTTGTAATTAATCCAAAATATATTTTTTTGTTCTTATAATACTGTCATTATCTTTTGTAAAATAAACAAATATCCAAAATTTATTATTTATACTGAAAAAAATTTACCTGGAGCAGTTTATACAGTCTACAATCCCACTAAAAGATTTATCATCATTTTCAAAGAAATACTGAGTTTGCTCAGTGATACAGCTTGTTTTAGGCAAGGCAGCACCGAAATCATCATCTTCCATATCGGCTGACAGAAAGAAGAAAATATATAAATAAATGACATTTTTAAGTCACAGATGCAATGGGGAGATCCAAATATGGCCCCCAACCTAGATTCTTACCTTCTACTTCACTCAAAGTTGACTCTTTAACTTTCTCTGGACTTACCTGCCTCAAGGAAACGTGGAAAAGTCAAGCTCAAAAACAGCTGCTGTAAGATAGACCTGAACATAGAAAGACAATATACATTTGTTAAAGGCTTTTTGTCATCTTTGTGTTTTACTGGGACCTTAAAAACTACTCAAATAAGAGTAATTAACAACAGAATCATCACAGCTCATTACTCTTTTGCCAGTTATTAAAACTGTGTTTCTTTAAACATTAGTTTGACTCTGGTTTTCTTTCCACACTAATCTTTTATTCTACTGTTGAGATTTGTGATCATTTGTGCTCATAACTCACATAATGGAAATGTTATCATGCCATCCATGTCCTCCTTTTATACCTCTGCGGGAGGTGGAAGAGGCATATTTGCTTCCCTCTAACACTTAAACTAACCAGAACTCCTTTTGAACACACTCAGGAAAAATGCTCCTGAATTAGATACTTTATACTGATTAAGGCTCATTAAAATGCTGAGAAGGAGACGAACACTGGAATATCACAAGTATATTATAAAAATCATTACTGTAGCAGTTGACTTTTAAAACCATCTCTATTCCTGCTCTTGAAATATAGAATATATTTTCATCCTAGATGCTGCAGAACACAGGCTTAAAAAGCTCCATTTATTTCAAATTGTTTTTCTTTGCTCATGATCATATTTTTCCCATTTTATTTACTTGAAGCAAGTACCGGCTTGCCACATAAACGTCTCTCTTCTTCTCTACCAACCTGTCAAAACAGGAATCACAATTTAGGTTCCTTGACTCCTTGCTTATGCTTAAACCTTCTTAAGTTGTAGTTTCCTGTCATAATGTTTTAGGTTTGCTTCTGCCTACAAATATGAGCTGATCTCTCCTCATCTCATCCTGCACTAACGCTTGCTCTGCAGACAGAATGGACTGTATAACTTCATTCCATCTCCAAGATTTTTTCCCTTTCTCCTTATCCAGTGTGATCCATGTGCAAAGAAACTGAATCATCTTTGCAGTGGAGGTACTGCCTCAAGGAGCTCTGGGTTCGCATCCACAACTTTGTGTAGTCAGTGATCAGAGAGACAGTGCGCCAATTGTCGGGGATGAGAAGAGACATGATGCCATTCAACAGTGATGCAATTTTCTGCCAGAAAATAGTAATCCTTCAGGAGGATTCAACAGAATTTACAGGGAATTAAGTGAAAAAGGCATCCTGGGAAAACTGTAAAATTTTCTGAGTTAAAATAGCATGAAGGAGAAATGATATCTATTCTCTTAACTAAATGCGGATGTGTCCCATATGAATTTTGAAAATTATCACTCACACCTTTATTCCACATTGTTGCCTGAAATACTATAGTTTTCTTTAATAACCTGGCTTCTCTTATTTCTCTGCATTTGCTTTTGCCAGGTGTCTCACTGAATCCATTTTTGGTCAGCCCTTTTCACTCTGCTTGCTAATGGCCTTCTCTGCCTGCTTCTGACCTAGATTCCATTAAAAACATGTCCATAGAAAGGACTTTCATGTGGTGCTTTTAAGTTAAACATCACACAAAATAAACCTCAGGTCTAAATTGAGTCCAGACCACTGATTCTGATTTGAACACTGATAAACTAAAGTTTCTCTGCTTGAGAAGGGCTCAAGTTTCTCTTCTGGATTATTGCCCATCTCTAGTTTTTGAGGCTTGCTGTTATCCAAGAAAACTGAGAATTTTGCTGTCGCTGTTAACAAAATGTAACCAACAATAAAAACCAACATACAATCTTCATAGTGTTATCCGTGAGAAAATTGTTATATGTTTGTTCAGCTGCTATATATTTCAACTCTTAGATTCATAAAGTAGGTAATTTATTCCAGCTTGATAATTATTATATAAAACAAACATCATGAAACTTTAGAAAAAGGAAAAGACAGTCTCCAAGGGTGCAATTCACACCAGTGCAAAAGTATCACATCAGTCTCAATTACTGATCCCAACTTGGTGTTGGTAGGGGTGTCTATCTACATGGTTCTGAAATAGGTAAAATTAATTCAGTGGCTATTGTTAATAATGCACAAACCAAAGTAAAAAGAAAGAAAAAAGCTCCTAAATGGATCTTTAGTTTCAAACTGTATCCATTATAGTGACTGTAAAAGAGAAACCTAATTACTGGTGTAATTCTGCCTCTCTCAATATTGATCTCAAAACTCCACAACAGCCTGAATATAGCAACTTTTCCCTTTCAGGTAGAAAATGTTAGGACAAAAGACTATAGAATTATACAAAATGTTTTATGTGTATTTGCTTCCTTTAAATAGTTCCGTAGTGCTTTTTCATTTCAAAGAACTCACGAATAATTATCATGAAAACCTTTAACTGAACTATGCCATTGGATAACATATTGGTTATCCTGCAGTGTGAAGCCAGACTTTACATTTTGTAAATAGAGAAGATTAATCTGTTTCTGTAAGAGGATTCACGGAAAAGCAAACGCTGATTTTCTTAAGACTTCTTGCTAGAAAAACGGAAAGGATATTCTGAAGTAGAGAACGAAGTGATCAATAATTCTAAATGTAATAACCTCATCTGAACCTTCACACCTGCCAACTGGACTTAGACCATTAATCTAACTCTGCTTTCTGAAGCTGATTTGTAGAGTCAGAACACACAATCATCAAAACTGGCAAGAAGAGTTATGGATTCAACTGTTGACAGAACATTGAATTTTCCAAGAAGTTTGGAGATATAGCTAAGCATTTTCACCATGAGAAACTGCAGAAATGAAGGGTTCAGACTAATTTCAACCTACTGAATAATTCTAGTTTGGACATACAGATTTCTGACACATTTGCACTTACCAGGCAGCTGCCGAAGCCCACCATCCTAGATGCAAAATATCTGTTATCGTAGGCTGGGAAAAAGGAAGAGAGATTCTGTTATTTGTATAAACACCCGCATACTTTTAAGGAAATGTTAGTCACCTCAAAAGGGGATACTGACCACATAAGCAGAACGAAGTCCAGCTCCTTGCTTTGGTTCTTCTTCAGGATCGCAGACCGATTGATAGTCGTACGACTTGTTAAAGGCATACAGGGACATGTTAATCAGGTTTCGCATCAGGCCAGGATCAATTTCACCAAAGAATCTTCCAATCTGATGAGGGGAAATATATGGAGATAAGTTAAAGTATTTCCAAGTTATTTTTCTTGTTAATAAGTGAACAGTTCTGATTTTTGCCACCCCCCTCCCCCCAATATTTTTTCCTCTACACAACTCATCCAGTTATGCTGCATATTTATTTCTTTCTTTGACTATTTCTCTCCCTAAATCTTGGTTGGAGAATTCCAGTTAGACAGTAATTGTTAATTGAACTATCAATGAGAGTACCCTGCTTGGGTAAGAACAAGAGGAATATGAGAAAGAAGGTGTGTGTATGCCATACTACTTGCCCTTACCATCATAAGTCCATGGGTAGCCTACCAGCCTGAACGCAGGGCAGAAAGGATGCAACTTGGTAGAAGTATGGCAACTTGAACCATAAATAAGACTGAGAAAAAAGACTAATAACTGTAATTTCTGATAAATCAAAACTTTTGTGATTTGAAAATGTTATTCTTAGGGTAAGTTGAGAGGGAAATGCTACTTTTTTCTCTTAAAAAATTCTTCTTATTTTATTTCCTGTTCTGTCCCTAAAAATATACATACCTGTGGTGTATATTCATCCCGGTTTGACATCAAAAGAAATCCTCCATCGTCAAGGATAACACAGTCCACATGCTATTATAAAAAAGTGAAATATATTTTGTAGAAAAGATTCATCAAGAGAACACTCTGTAAGAAACTATTTTTTATCCAACACTTAAAAAGTATCTTCAAATCTGTGTGGCTCAGGCTAAATCACAACCCCATAGCCAAGGGCCAATATTAAGCTATAATAAGTAGCATTATCAGTATTATAAAAGTTTGTTCAGATCAAAGGCTTATTTGTGGCTTAATTTCATAAAAGTTGTTTTGTAAATTCTTATTTGCTCAATACTTTGTTAGTTCTGAGTGCTATATCCTTATTAAATCTGATTATAATTGAATCTCAGCTCATAATAAGGGACTATGTGCTTCAGCCATGCTTAAAGTCCTTTTCCATTTGCAGCTTTTAATGGTAAGAGACCTAAGGGCAGACTCTCAGCTTGTTGGTCGTGCTTATTTTCACTTGCCAAGGGCTGTAGTGGGTTTCTTCCAGGTGTCAGGTGCAGGGCTGGGAAGCCCACTGGTTCCCTATGCTTTGCACTTTGTAAAAGATCCCGGCAGTCAGAGATTGGAGAGATAGCAGCAAAGGCAAATAGATAACCTCCCAGAGTACCCTTTTTTGCTGTAACTCCTGCATTTAATGATCTTCACACTCCACAAAATAATTCATGGAAGACCTGAGCAGAGAAAGCTTTTAAGCATGTGGCAGAATCTGATACTGTGTTTGCCCCTGAAACTCTGCTCTTCTGAGTGCACAGGATCCCCAAATCCTGAATGGGCTGGGAACAGAGCACAGGAGGATGACTAATGACTGCACATCACAGTGTTTTTCAGTTTGCATTTATCCTTCTCTAGGGTGTATTTCTTCCAGTGTTCTTTTTCTCAGTTTTGGTTGTTGGTTTTTGTTTGGTTTTTTTTTATGGTTCCCTTTCTTCAGGATTTGCCTCTTGTTCTGAAAGTTACCATTACGTTCTTCTCACGTTTTCCTTCACATCATTCTCTACTGCTCTTATTAGTTTGTTTTTTTCTTCACTCTAGTTCTCATAACTTCATTGCAAAGATTCTTGCAACAACTCCTTCACCTGACTTTTATACCCCTTTTCCACCTAATCTTGATCTCTTTCCCAAGACACAAATGACTAAGTCCTGTTTCCTGTAAAATTATCCCTCAAATAATAATGATAGAGAAGTTGTCTGAGACAAATCTAGAGAAAATGAGGGAATTTTTGATAATCTGCCACATATTCATAAAGGTAACATATTCTTACCATACTGTTTCTCTCACAGCCACAGATTTCACTGTTGCACTGTAAAACAGAGGTACAGTAATCATCACAAAAATGTTTCAAAAGAAGTAATATTTCACAGTGATATTAATCAATCAAGACAAAAACAAGTGATTTGAATTTTGAGTGTGTGTCATTTAGCACAAATATCTCTGCAAACAACCTGTATTCAGTAATTATTAACAGCATAAGCATAAGTCTTTGATACATCTCCTTTTTTTAAGAATGCTCATGAATTAGAGACAAATAGTTTGGGGGGCTTCTCAGGATGCCAGTGTTGTGGGTATAAAGTAAAAGAGAAAGAAAACGTGCATTTCCATATGTTTGGGGTATGGAAAGAAAACCCAGAAAACATAGAATCACAGGATCATAAAATGGTTAGAGTCAGAAGGGACCTTAAAGATGATCAAGTTCCAACCCCCCTGCCGTGGGCAGGGACACCTCCCACTAGACCAGGCTGCTCAAAGCTCCATCCAGCCTGGTCCAAGTATCTGTTTTAACCATGAAAGCATCACCATTCTCATAGCATGGGAATCCCATGTGATAAAGGAAGCCAAGCACCTCCAGTTAGCTTGTATGGCTTTGATTACTAATATATTTTCTCTTTTTCTAGCAATATGTGTATACATAGAGACATAACTGTCTCCTTGCGTTGTGTCCTGAATAAAGAGACTACTCGAAAATGCTGCTCAAAATAATTCTGAGATTCTCCTTTTTTTTTCTCCAGATCTGTATTTTTGACCTAAACTGTTCTGACATTTAGGCAATGCATTTGCCTACCCACTGAGCCCTAATTCCTATAATGGCCAGACACTATTATCGATTCCCTTAATATACAACCAACCAAGCAACGTTGCCTCATCCAGTTGTTCCATAATTTTCTTAATTTGTGCTTCTGTCACATTTTCCTCAGATTTTTCTTCAATTTGGCCTTTTCTCCTTCCTATTTACACCTAAGTATTAGAAGTAAGGAATGAAAGGCTTAAGCAGTTCATTAAGTTCTGCTAAAATGCTGTGATGTTGGTTTGCCATATAACTCCTTACTGTTCACTGTTCATGCATGCTCCATATTAAATAAAAATAGATTCACTTTTTAATGTTGTTGGGGTTTTGTTTGGTTTGTTTGGGGGCTTTTTTGGAGTTTTTTTGGTTTGTTTTTTTTTAAACCAATTCTTTTGCAGATTTTATTCACTGCTACAACACAATCTTAGTAGGGAGCTTACTGGCTGGAATATGTCATTTTTCTTTGTCTTTATCCATGTTCTATAATTATGAAAGCAAGACACGTACAAAATACAGCCTGTTTCAACATAGATTTATTTTGTGTATTTGGATGATTTAAATACCACAACTACTTGGCAACTACACATCAGTGTGACTCTGGCACAAAGAGCTATTAGACCTATTTGCATCTGAAGCTTTGAGAAATGCAAATAAAGTTCAAAAAAGACTTGGTCAATTGCTTACCAGGCTCTTGATTGTGGTTTTTGTGAAATTTTCCATCCAGCTGTTTACGTCAATTTTTATTCCAACAACTAACAAGAAATACATGAAAGTCTTTTTTAGTAAAATGAAAAAATAAAAAAAAAGGTAACTGTAGAATCCTTAAAAAAAAACGAAAAGGAAAAATTATAATAACATCTAAATTATTAAAGTAGAAAAGGATAAAATATGAGTTTCTCTCAGTTGTCTGACCACCAACATCCTTCATGAGACTAATAAATTAAGCACTCTTACTCAAACACAGCCAGATCTTTCGCTTGATTTCCACCAGCAAGATTAAAAGACTCTCAGAGAAAAGAATGTTATATAAAGTGATGTTCCTTTGAAATCTCAATTAAATTTCAATTGACTGTTGAGCAACAACTAAATAATTAATGTATTTAGAGCTTCAGCACCACTCTGTCTTACCTGCTGGTTTCAGAAGCTTCCCATTAATTGTTATTTCCACAGCCTTGCTTACCATAACACCTGTTTCATAGCTGTTGGCACCACTTTCTGAGAGTATAGAAGGAAAAAAAAATAAAATATTAGGGTGATATAAAAGCCTCTTCCCCTGAAACTGAAATTAATGATTACTGAAATACTCAGAATAATTGGAAAAATATTCTTTTTCATAAGCAATGACCCAGCTGCACTATGCATTCATCACCTGTAAGAGTTCAGATCACCAACACCTGGATGACTAAGATAAATACTTTTGTTTACTTCTCTTCATTCACTTTTTGCACACAGTTTCACCGCTTCATAAAGTTACCATAGCCTTTTTTTTTTTTTTTCTTTTTCTGCAAGCAGATCCATGGATAGCTTTACACATGTGAGCAGCTCTGTTAAAAACAGGATTGGAGCCAAAGATTTTATCCTGCTGTCGTCTGTGTATTTTTCAATGCAGGGTATACTGACACCGCTCACTAACCAACAATTACTCCTCTGATGGACTTCAGCCTCTTTTAAACACTGCTTAGTATGAAAAAGCAAGTTAGAAGTGGATTCCCTGGAGCTCTTTGAGGAACAACAAAGGCTTCAGGGAATTTAGGTAATTACCATGTTAATATTTTATTGAGAAAAGATGCAATAAATAAGTATGCAATAACAGCAGTAAAAGATTCCATATGTTTAAGAGAGGAGTATGTCATTTGTGGTAGCATCTGCTTTTAGACGAGCTTGGCAAGGTTAATGCTGCTCACATCAGTAATGAGCACTTACTATTGTGCATATATAGGTTTTAAATATCACAGTACCTCAGACAAACTGGTTTTGGTGAATAACAGCAATTTGAAATAGAACTCAAAAGCAAACTTTAAATTAATCAGCACTGCAGTGGATGGAGTTGGGGACTCTGGACTGCTAATACCTGCTCCCCCAAGTTAGATTTGGTGCTGAGGAAGTATCCAGAACTCAGCTCAAATAAGGCTTTTTTAGGTAGTGTTATTGTTCCCAAGTGCAATTTTCTTTCACTTGCTTTTAAACTAATTCCGTCAAAGCATCTCTGTAAAACAGTGTAATAATAAATGAACACAAGTACTCTGCAGGTTTTCAGCTTTGTTAATTCTGAGCACGCAGAGCCATCAGAATTGACGACAAATTATGATGTCCCTTGTTTGGTGTCCTTGTCGCTACCTTTTCCTTAATAATGAATGAAGTCCCAAGATTTTTTTCTTTATGAAGTGTTCCACTTGCATCCTTTGTCAGTGACCTCAACTGGTATGGGACACTTTCACAGGTAAACCTATATTGGACTCATTAGCTTTGACATTTCAAAACAGTGATGACTTACTGTTGTAGTACGGAGCTGTGAAAATATAGTTGTCATTATCTAAACTCCTTTTATAGAAGCTGACTTCATAAGTTTCAGCATTTTCCAACCAATCTTCTCCTGCCCTAATCACAAAAAAGAAGTGATTGAAAAAAAGACAGTTAGCATCTCATTAAAGCTGAGCTGCGGGCGGTGGCGGGAGGGGAGGGGAAGAGATGTTTCACAATTGGAAATAATGTGAGATTCATTTATATCATCCTCAGACTTTGTCATCTTTCACTGGAAAACTGCCAGGTGTAGTTTTGTTTTGTTTTGTTTTTTTAAAGTGGAAAAAAAAAAAGAAAACTACTCTTGGAACAACATGGATCTTGTCTCATTGTTTTTAGATATATTGAGACAAATATAACTGCAACACTATTTGCAAAAATATATAAGCAAACTTTTATAACACATGTTGTCTCTCGAGTAATCATCCCAAAAAGATTTTACATCATTAAGATCAAAACAGAAAAGAAACTGATTTTTGGAGTAAAATTCATTGTCATTTTCCCACTTTGAGGAAACAAGATAACCGAAGAAAAGAGATAAATTTGCCATTTACCAGTATTTCCATACTGGTGCCATCAGTGTTTCTAGTCACTGATGGGATCGTCTAATTTATTATACAACCACTTTCACATTCCCCTTTGCCCTTTGGTATTGATACATTTTTTCTCTCTTGAAGTCCTTGGACCATTTGGTCTGCTCTTATTAGTTTAAAAATAAATAAATAATCACCTACTGCTTGACAGTGTTTGCAGCCTGCCAGGCTGCCAAACGAGTGAGTGTTTAGGAGTAACTAGGGATTAGCACAGCCCCACTACTACCACAAGGGCACTGCTTTTACTGCTACTCTACACTGATTAGAAACTTGGATTACAAGGCCCAGCTATGCAAATCATGATGCAGATCAGTTTCAAGCAATGACACAGGTAAAATCAAAATAAAATAAGACATGCAATTCATTTCTTAATTATCAGTACAGATTAGACTTTAGGAGAAGTTGGTTTTCATTCAATAAATCCACTATCTAACATTTTACCCTTTCAGGTTCAAAATTATGATGTTATACAATTTTATAATAACTGTTACCTTTTTGGGAACACTCTAGTAATTCCACCATCTGTAACAACAAATTGTGCAACAACTCCATCACTGTAACAGAAATAAGATTTAAAATGAAAACCGACGGAAATTCTCACAAGTTCCTATGTCAAAGGTTGCCACTTAAATGCATAACTATGAATTAAATATCTGCCCTGTGAAAACATTACCTGTATATTTGTATATACACACATGTATGTTATCATGTTATCAAACTTTGAAACGTATCCAAAAAATTACAGTCAATAAAAGGAATACTTACAGAGACAGCTTACTCCAGTAATTTTGGGCAAGTTCATTTGTAAATCCTGCATCCAGCAAAACTCTAATGACCATATCAGTATTACCTATCAAAAGAATTAAGACACTTATCTGAAACCAGATGACATGGAGTTTCATTAAATGGCTATATGAAATTCTGAGTTGTTAAGATACTACAACCACAAAAATGGGCAATTTCTATTAGACGTACTGTCTAACTTCAAATTGTCAAGTACTTACTGTTAAATAGATTTCTCTCACACTGTTCACTTCACTATTTTTTTCCTTCAGAATATCCTAAAAACCTATATTTTTGTCACAGGAATAAGCGAGGTTATAAGGGTACAGGTCCCAGCTTTGCAAAGCCCCTATATTGAATTTAGAAATTAATAATTTTTAAAGCATATTTTCATTCAAACATTTTTTATCTCAAGTGATGCAATGAAACAACACTTAGCTCTTAGTTAGACTTACTCCTACATGCAATAAAAATGGAGATAAACCAACTATAATTTAAATATGTTTAAATCAGTTAGGTCCTAGCCTCTCAAAAAATCCTATTTGCCATCAGAAAATAAGGTATAGGGAAATCAACTCGTTTTTAGCTAGTAGCTTAGATGGATATATAATTTTTAAATACATTTGAAAAGAGGGTTCTCAAACATCTTTTTCAGTACTGCTTTGCAAGAGAAAGTTCTAGGAATGCTCAACAGAAGTAAGCACATGCTTTAATACAGATTTTACCACTATAGAAAAAAAAAAAAACAGGGCTAAATTGGAGCCAAATAATATAAAGCAAAAATCTAGCTCTTTGTCTTCAATGTCACACAGTAAATCAGTGTTTGCAAATCATTGTTCCATGAGTGGAATCTGCACCTTTGGATTCTGCCCAACCCTGGCTGCTCAGGCTTGCTGAGGAGCCTGAAAACTTCTTCTGGGGAAAAATAAAAATAAAAACCACTAACTTTTCTTCAGTTTTGCTCCATAGAGAGCCATGACATGCTCTGTACTTCACCCTAAGTCTTGGATTCCAGAAAACCGATATTCACCTTTTTTAAAAAAAATCTCTAATTCAATCTGTTTTCACAAAACAGATCAACAGGGGCATGTATTTGGGTACTGAAAAGTTTTGTAAGCTTTAGCAAAAGACTTTTTCATAAAATCCACTGATTGATCCACATGAGTCTGAACATGTGAGCATCAACACAAACAGCCAGCAGCTCTGATTCACCAGCAGGAAGCACTGTCTCATATAATCTTAATATATTAATTCAATTCTCATTAGATATATTTACATGACTTAGGTAGATAAACATGTTAAACTACATTCAATGCTACAGACTCACCTTCTCTATTTGCTTGCACACTGTCATGGTATAGTATCTAATATAAGTTAGGGTACTGTTTTAAAATATTTATTCAGCTGGAATTAATGACAAAAGCCCACAGGATGAAATTTGGATGGCCTTACTACATCCATATATTCCTAGAAATTAAATTGAAATTCAGCCTGAATTTAAATATCAAAACATGTCTCTCAGAATTATGTTTATATCTTCTAATATAGACTACTAACATTTTACTGGATGCGATTTTTATTTAGGACCCTCTTGTACTATCTGCATCTTCGTAAAGTGAGACTTTCTTACTTACATAAAGTAGATGTCAAAGAGAAGTAGGGTCTTACTGCCTAGTATGTAACTGCTCTTACTGTCCCCTAGTAGTGACGGAGGTAGTTGTCTGTCTTCCTGGCCAACTTCTAACAGCTTAAAGTCAAATGGCAAATATAAATTCAAAATCAAAATATAACAGTAATTCAACTTAGAGTATATAGAGTATTTCAATTCTGAGAATTTACTATTATTCCTTTTGAAAAACATTTTTTTAGCTGCAATAATTTCCATAGCCAGTGTTTCCTTTAGTCAACACTTTAATTATTCAGAAGACTATTTTTAAAGTAACTTAATTACTGGGAAAAAAGAAGGAAAAAAATCAATTCTGGTGTGGATTCCAAAATGAAATATAGCAATAATTTGATAACATATTGGCATAATTACTTACTAAGCCCTAGTGTATACTGCAATATCACTAAATGTGTCCTCAGTATTCGCTTATATAACTAGTGAATATTAAAGTAGAATTTTCATTTATTTACTGGTTTAATCATTTGAGGGGAATGCTTTCATTTCCAAAATTGAGTCAAGGGACTCAAGTAAAATTTCAGTCAGTTAGCAATGTGTCAATCAATAAGACCACTCTATTAAAAACAACAACAAACACCCGCACATGTACACAAAAATACCCTTTTGTGAGAAGATCTCACATCTAAGTGCACATTCCTCCAGTGACATGGTCTAACAGAGAGATTCTTATTGAATTGAAAAAAAAAGTTTATCCCAACTGTTTATAAATTATTAATGATGCTACACAGACTTGTGTGCATAAACAAACAAATCCAAACACTGAATTTTCTTGAGAATAAGACTTTAACGCATCAGTGATGTTTCGTTCAAAATCATAACTCCTCATTTATTCTAAAGGATGTTTAAAGCCTAATTTAAATATGTGAGAACCTTCCCAAACCTCAGCACTCACCACTGCAGCAGCTATATCAATCTACAGTCTTAAACAACTCAAGCTAAAGCGTGATCTCTTTAACCAATTTGTGAACCAGTAATAGAATTTCCTTATCTTTTATTTTGGTTACTGATTATTTTGGTTCTTGATTATTTTGGTTCTCATCTGATCTCCTTTTCTTTATTTATTTTGGTTATATAAGCTAACAAGGAAGAAGATTGAATATTTCTTTACAAGATTTTGAAGTCTATTTGAGACTTACTTCGGTTGATATGCTCAAATTCAAAATATTTGGAGTGTATTAAAATGAAATGGTAGTAATTTGCTGCTAGAACAGAATGCTGAGGGGAATTGTGGAAAACACTGGATGCATAATGCCATGCAAACTTTCTTTAAAAAACCCAGAAAACTGCAAACGTATTTTACAATCTCTACCTTGGGTAGAAAATCACAGCACTAGTTGTATTTCTACTAAAAAGTAAGTGAAGATAAAAAGCATAATCACATGATTTGGGCATGAAAGCTGTCATTTTGACTAATTCTCATTTATAAGTAAGTATTTTCCTAAAGAAAATTTTCAGCAAATTGAGAAGGATACTTACATGATGAACTGCTTGGAGTATGTCTGTCAAGAAATTCATTGAAATTTAATAGAAATTCAGTGTTGTTATCTGATTTTTTTACATCATTACAGTATTCTCTGAAAAACAACAAAACATCAGTGCTCTCAGATTTGTTTCCTTTGGTACTAAAGCAGACAAATATGGCTCAGCAATTTTAAAGGACAAGCAGGATTGTGCAACTACAATGAGATGACTGGCACAACTATGTCAACAAACTACCACTGTCACTACTGAATGTTGACCATACTGGATATTTTAGACATCTACAGGAAATAAATTGCCCAAGTGCCTGCCTAAACCTGAATTATAAGAAATCTCCATGTATGAGACCGTGCATATATTCCTACAAAGAGCACTTAAGATCAGTGTAGTCCATGAAACTAGGAGACCATAAAGTCTATAAACTAAACAAGAAAATGCCCATTGAATTTAGTCTGGTTCTGGGTTAAACTGTACTGGAGGTATATGGACTGCTGTTTGAAACACAATTACTTCATGCTCAACTAAGGCTGGATTTATGGGATAAGGTCCTATCCTCTGAGAAGTTTTAAAGACAATTTTAACAGGGTACACACCACATAAGCATATAAACACTCTTCGATTTGACGTATGCAAAACAGATAAACAGTAAACTACTGGTTGAGAATGTTCAGCACTGTAACAGGGAGCTATCATTTTGAATAAGCTTTTTATGTTAAATTGATTTCATGAACACAAAAGTCTGTTCAAGTATTTCAAATGAATAAGCTATTTTATTATGCTTTACTTGCTTTGCCGTGGTCCTGAAAGACTACGGGCAGAATTTGCCTTACTATACCAACATTCAGATCTAAACAGAGCTCCATATCAAGCAGGTTTTCCAACTAGGGACTGGCTGCAAACTGCTAATTGGTACAATTAATTATCAGTAATTTCAGTCCCTCAGAAAAAAATAAATTAAACAGTTAAGCTGAGAATACATTTGAAGATAGAAGAATCCATTTTACATACGAATCTCACAAAGAATCTATCTAAAACATTCTAAATTTAAAATTATACAGAAATTTATAAGATAAATATGAAAAAGGAACCATTATTAACTGAATGTGATGGCACAGCATCTTCAACTATCTTTAAAAGGAACTTAATTTTAAGAACTATCTATCACACCATGTTTCCCTTGCAAACATAGATTTACCAGGGCAACAAGAACCACACAATTTCACATGAAAAAACATGGAACTAATGAACTTAATCAATTTTCAATGACTAAATCATTTTTTGTTCAGTGAGTCAAAAATTAATTCATCCTTAAGTGACAGAGAGCTTTGAAACACTTTATCTTGGAGTTGGAAAACATGTTGAGGTAAGTATTATAGTACCTATTTTACAAATAAGAACCTAAAGTACAAAGTTGTAAAATTTTAAAAGCCACAAGAAATGAGCAGATGTGTATAAGGTTTCCATTAAAAACATCAATAGATGATGACATATCAGATTTTATAGCCCCTTGATTAATTTTAAAAAGGAGTCAGAGCCTGAAGATGCTATTTAGTCTGTATCAAGAAGATTGATCTTGTAGAACATGAACATAATAACTATTCTTTTACTTAATATTTTTTACCAAAATGAACTTTACGGGTCAAGTCTGTATTTTGCACGTCATTAATGTGATCAAATGCATATTAGCTTTTGAAATAATACTTAGTACTGGGAAATTAACCAACCTTGGTGCTATAAATGTATAGCCAGCTTCATCAAAATGATCAAGCTTCAGTGTTTCTGTATCTACAAAGATGAAAAGTAAACACCAAGTAAGTAAACTGGGCTCTTTGCCATCATTTTTTCTCAAAATATTTGACCAGATTTGCATGCATCCATGAATGTAGAAAGAAATGTTTATTTTGAGACACTTTCCTAGTAACATACTGTATACTTCTCAGTATTTCACAGTATAGGAAGAAACTAGCTGATTGTTACAACATACACCTGGCAACAATAATGTATCTAACAACTTACTTAGAGAGGGCATTTCATTAGCATGACAACATGAAAACATATCAGATGTTTTCATTACAATTACAACCCAATACAAAGAAATATTTAGGACACCTAGTTGTCAGAACATGAAAGAAAATGCTCCTAGTATTTTCTACAATAAAGTTTAAAAACCATCCATATAAGCACCACTTTAAATGCTACTGAAAATAATGGCTTTAAAAGCTGGTGTCACTGAACACTGATAGGAGCAGACAAAGGATTAGAGATTAGCAACATATTGAAATGTGCATGAAAAGAGAAAAACACTTCACTTTTTACATTTTTTTTCTCTATTGCTATGGTACCCAACGATCATGGGAAAAATCCTGAGATGAAGAATACAGAGGAGAATATCCAGTAGGAATAGAAATATAAAGTAAAAAATATCAACTGCAGTAAACAGAAGGAAATTGAGCAACAAGAATATACTTGCCCTTTTTGAATGCCACTATCCATCAGAAAGAGAAAGCAGGGAAACAGAAAAAAACAGGGTAAAGCAAAAGGGGTCACAAAACAATATTTTATTCAAACAGCCCCTTGAATAAAAATATTGTGCATAGATAGATCAAAGGTTCAATTTACATACAGCTGTAGTCTGGAAAAAAGACAAACATCTTTGAAGACTGAAGAATACATCCCTCAATTATTTCTCAAGTACCTTCTATATACTGTGGCTATTTCAAGGGTCTGTTTTGCAGGTTATGCTGATGCAAGCGCAAAACCAGGCTATCTAATCCATCAAGAGAACCATATTCACTAACTACAATTTTAATTTTAAATGATTTACTATTTGATAAAGTTATGAAATAAATCACTGATTATTAAAACTTTGCTGTACTCCGTATGCAGAAGGTGCGGTAGATGACAGTGATTTAGTGCTAATCAAGTTTTCTCTAAATGGATATCTATGCCTGTCAGAGATTCATAGTGCTTTTTAACTTTCTATTTAACTGCACATTTGTTCAACTTTATCGTAACACTTGGATACCAAGTTAAAAGGATGTGATGGGTTCTAATTTGTCTGCTATCTAGATTACAGTTAAGCTACACCTAATAAATACAAAGCTTTTGAATACTCACAAGTATCATTTCCATTTATCTCTCCAGAATCTGTAAATGACTTGAAATTAGTCTAATCCAAAAATACATTACAAACATCCACTACAACTATTTGTAAAGTGCAAAATAAAAACCTAGCTGCAAGCCAAACCAAACAGCGCTTTCACATTAATCTATTTCTACAGCAGAGGTAATTTGCTAAATATGATACTGTAACTACTGTAAAAATAACAATAAACCCAAACAAAAAAACAAACAAAAACCTGCTTTGCTACTATAGTCTATATCATGACATCTAGCTAATAGAATGAAAAGTATAGTATCCAGACCCTTAAAATGACAGCAACAGAGGATACACAAAGCAATGATTCTACAGGTACAGAGCAAGTGGGAGGGGATTGTCAGAGGAACTGGGGTACCTGCACATATTCTATCTTTATAGAATATTTCTTGTACCTTGGATGTTACGATGGGGTTAGAATCATTGCTGCAGATTTTGGATACATCACAATAACATCAGTGAATTCCACAAAATATATGGATTTTAAACATTGCTTTTTCAAGTGAATCTGAACCTTAGCAATACTAGGCAAAATCAGGGAACCTTCATAGTACTTACATCTGGCTTGAGTTATTGATTCTTCTATTTTGGCTTTAATATAATAAAAGCTGTATGATGGTAACACCAGTGCCAAACTGTAATAGAAATGAGACAAGTAAAGCAATTATCTTATTTGCAGTAGTTTTCCAGTTTCAGCTTCTTTCTGTTTTGAAAACAATTTACAAGTTTGGAAGTTGGGTCATCATGAGAGAAGATCATCATATGGTGACATACCAGCCTCACACCTTGTAATAGACACAAATAGGTTCATGCCAGTCGTGAAGCTCCCTGTGTTTATTTACATTCTTGTCTATGCATTTAATTATAAATACACTTTTCAATGGATAAGCAAAGACTTTCCAAATAATTGCAAATAATAAAATATATGATTTCTTCTATCTTCCTCTAACACATTGAGCATCCCAATGTAACACAGGTCAAGGTGATCATTGACTGTAAAAAAACAGCATGTAGTACTACACGGAATTTCATGCATCATATAACAACAGACTCTCCCTTTACTAATAAAACAATGATCAGTATGCATTAGGAAATTTATCTGGCAATACTTGAATTCACATTGCATTCAAGATGCAAAATATTTTCTTGAATCTTGCAGTCACCACTAAAAACCTTTGAACACCCTTGTGTAATAACATTTTAATATTTGCAAAGCATTCACAATATAATTTCTTTTAGATAATACTTATTTTTATTCAAAAAATACAGGACTTCTTTTTGCCTCTAAATTCAATAAATGTGTAGAAGAGTTCAGCTCTAAAAAGATATGTAAAGGACAGGAGATACGAGGCATCATTAAAGAGGTAGCATCACCTCCCACATTGCATCCTTAATATTTGTACTCGGATTTCATGACTGTAAAACTGCAATGGTTTCTAATGGGTAGCTGCAGAAATTAACATTTAAAAAGTTGTACAATTGAGTCATAAATGACATGACCTTTGATGATACATTTGCCATTTAAACAGAATGTAAGTGAGATTGCTGAATATTCAGTGATAGCTGCCTACCAATTCTCCTCTAGGGAAATCAGTAGCAGTTTACCTGTCATTAACAGTTACTGCTAGCAGAAATTGCTAATTAAAATCTATAATTTTATGTTTAATAGGTTTGCTGCAATGTGACTCCATGGATTTATTGCTGTATCTCATGCCAGGGAGCTCAGTAAGAATTAAGAAGTCATATAAATCAAATGTATTTCTTTACTGATTGCTAGATGGCATGGTCTGATAAAAACCTTTATTTTCTTACAGGGTATAAAGATAGAGGAAGTTCAACAGAAATAACGGGATGTTGAATAAATAATAAAGTTCTACATTTACATTATCTTGTTAAAACTGATTTGTTCTGTTTTGCATATAAATTAATGTTCTCATTCTCCTTGGCTATACACCTGTACAGAACATAACAGAAAATGGGAACCAGTTTGGCTGAGGGCTACTGTAATTCACCAGAATAAAAATATAATTTTGGTAAAAGTTTGCCTTAATATTTATACCATCTAGTTTTGAACAAAGATAGTTTAGCCTTTCTGAGACTTAGTAAACCTTAACTTGTTTTGGATAATGTCAAGTTGCTATATTCCTTCTAATATTTGAGATCTGTGGTCTTAAATGAGTTTAAAATAATATACACACCAATGTTGCATTCAAGGGGGAATGGGCTTTTACCCATTACTTCATTTGTTCACTTTTTCCCTTCCTGCTGTCATTGATTGTGTGATTTTTTTCTATACAAAACAGTGTCAGTGTTCATTAGCTAGAACTTGTCACAAAAAGACTGATTTCAGAGATAATAAGTAGCATAGTTCCTGCCTCTAAGATCTGACATGAACATTAGCAGAGTCATAATATAAGCAATGACTGTGACTAAAAAAGATTTGCACAAAACATGCCACATTTTTTTATTTAGACCAAAATATATCATCTTCTTTTTCAATATGAACAGCAACACGGGGACAAATCAAAGAAAAGATGAAGAGGAGGAATCTAAAAGAAAGTGTACATTAAGAATCAATCTATGGTGTAATACAGTAAGTAGGAGGAAAAGTAAGCATCAACCCCTTTCTTTCCTCCATACTGAAATATCCTAGTGATAAATCTCAACAATTGGATGAAAGACTGAGGTTCTGGCCCTTAGAGCAAAAATTCTGAGCTGCAAAGGAAAGCAGCAAATCCGACACACCTGGACACAAGATGATCAGGTCCTGACTTAGCTAGTACAGAAAATGTAAAACTAAAAATATTAACTAAAATAAACAAAAAAGAAGTTTAACAAAACAAAAGAAGTCAGAGAACAGAAATGAGTTACCTGTAATCAGTGCCATTCACAGCAGTCCATGTATACGTTCTGTTTCCTTTATCAATATATCTCTACAAAGAGATGTTGGTGAAAAAAAAAAATATTAACTCTGAAGCTTCAACAAGCATGCCTTTTTCTTGAGAAATACAGTATAAAATCAAGTACAAATTTGTTGGAATTCTATTTATTATTTTGTTAAAAGTTAAGTTGATCCGCAACTCCTTTTCTTAAACATTTCCTTAACTTATATCACACAAAAAAATCACCTGTATCCTTTTTATTGAACATAAAAGAAATGCAAGTTTAAATTAAACAAGATGAACATTACCTATCATTTTCCCTTTTAAATTCATTAGCCAGTCCTGTGCAAAACTTTGTGATTTAAATTCAATAAAAGATGTTTCCTCCTTTATAAACCATTTTGCAGTGAAGCTATGAAACCAAAAACCCCACAATTATATATAAAAAAAAGAGATTCTTTAAGTAACTCTTTAATATCAAAACCACCTAGTGCCTGTCCTTTCAGGTCACAGTGCCATGGGCTAAATGAATTTAAATTTGAGTCCTATCTACAGACACAGCCAGGTAGTCCTGATTGTACAGGCACCCCATGCTGAACTTACCAGCTTCTAATCTCATTAGAAGGTTCTTGAATTTGTGAAAAGATAACATGGAAGTTAAATGTTTATTTTTAAATAACTTAATACTTTAGGATAAGCTTTACCATTCGTTTTCTTTTGGTTTGAAAAGTAATGGGACACACACAGGTCCATAGTTCCCCATAGATTTAATCATTAATGCACCTGGATGACATTGTTTTACTCAGTTTGCCACTTTGAAAACTACAAGTTTATGCCAGTTGTAACATATTATTATTATTTTACAGTCAGAGATTTGTAACTATGCCAGCAATGAAGTCTGTGCAGCTGTTGCACTGCAACATCACTGACATCGGTGAAAGATACCGCAGGTATATATCTATGCTCTTTCTCTCCTTGTACTAAAACCTGAGTGCGCAAATTACCACGGTGTCTTTTTTGACATGTGTGATTTGAAACCTTCTCATTACCTGGCTGTATGACAGTGTAAATATTTTAATATTAATTTTAGAAAGAAAAAGAAGAAAAAGAAAAAAGAAAAAAAAGGGAAAGAAAAGAAAAGAAGTAAAAGAAGATGCATTCATCAGTGTCTAATGTCATGATATATTTTATGTTTAAGGTGAAAAGATGGATGAAGATATTTTTATCCAAGCTTATTTATATTTAATAATGTGCATGTACTATTATTTCAGATCAAGAATAAGCAGTCACTGGGAGCCCCTCCAAATCAGGCCCGGTGGCCTTGATTGCACTCCATGTACATTGGCAAGAGAAAAGCAGTGCCCAAGGTGGGAAGGAAAGAAGGAAGGGAAGAACCGTGCTCATACTAAATCCTGTTGCCACCAGTGCTGCGAACATTCTTGAAAGCCAACTGACTGAAGACTCCCTTCAAAGATAACCCAGCAGATTACACATCCTCAGGTGGCTGCGAACATTCTTGAAAGCCAACTGGCTGAAAACTCCCTTCAAAGACAATCCAGCAGATCACACATCCTCAGGTGGCTATTCCTATTCACCTTTGCCTACTCCATTACTGAGTGTTGTGAGACCATCTCACCCCCAGCTGGTCACTGCCAATGAACCTACATGTTATTGCAGTTTTTGTGACCCTTCAGTTTTCACTACTGCCCACCCTGGCTGCCAGAGTGTGGCAATGCTTTTGTTCCTGTGGCATCTTCTCTATTCATTGGAAAGCCCCTGAGGCCTTGGGAGACTCCAGTGCACCCCACCCACACTTCCTATGAGTCCAGTCTCTATGCTGCAGCATGAGGTCATCTCCCAAGACACTGCTGGGGCCAGCTGCAATACAAAAGGAGAGCAATGCAAACTTAAACCAAAAAGCAAAACAAAAAGGACATCAATTTTAAGCCTCCAGACTGCAACTGTCAGTTCAGAGCAACTGACCACATCAGCCCTTTTTATAAGAAAATATATGAAGCTATCAAGTCCTAACGATACACAGCTCTCACATGGCCCATGGTCTGAAGCAGCTTTATTCTGGCTTTAGCAGCCTGGAGCTGGGAGGGTGCAATGGCTTGAAGCAGTCACCATTACCAGACATCTTCTGGTTGCTCTCTTCTTCTCTCAGAGAGGTCCAGTAGATGAAGAAACCTTGGGCCATGATGCATGGGAAGGTGAGGGAAATTGATATCATTGGGCACTTGACCACCTGGGATCAAAAGGCTTGGGATACTCTCTACAAATACAAATTGTGGTCTGGGCTGTACATAACTGACACATTCTCACACACTCAAGGACATCACATTCTGTCCCCTTTCCAATGCTGTAGCTGACTCCAGCATGTGCAAGCATAAATGTTTCCCCTCACTCCGTCTTTGGGCAAACAGTTGCAGGACCAACTGTTTCAGGTTTTTTTTATCACACAGCCTGAGATCTCTTCAACAGCTTTGCCATGAATGCAATTTCTTGTATAACCCCAATGGTATTGTTGCATTTTTGTGTATTGCGTATTTTGCTAATCCTCCCTTTTCTAACTGCCTTCACAGAGCCCTTTTCAGCCATAGGATTGGAGAGGCACTCCCTAAACAAAACACCACCACAAATCTGAAAATGTCCCAGGCAATCCCTCCCTTCGGGAGCTGCTTATCCCCAACACAGACGCCAGCAGGACTTTGGACTCTCCAACACTGAGTCAGGAATAACCCAGTTTCCCTTCAGAATGGGGACAGGCTGGTGGCTTCCTAGACAGGATGGGCTCCTGACACAGGGGAGGTAGCAGACGGGGCTTACCCTCCCTGCCCCAGGAAGGTCCTATTCTTTCACTGTCTTCCAATAGTGGAACCATTCAGAAAAAGGCACATTTCTTTCACACAGCAGGATTTCCCTGTAGATTGTAAAGCAGCATTGTAAAGCCTTACTCAGGAGGACTGGGATGGGGGCTTTATTGTGAGAAAGCACAGAAGAGAGTCCCCTGGAAGGCAAGGGGACTTCTGGGACAGGTTCTCTGTTCTTTAGAAGAACATAACAAGAGGCGAAAGGCAGTACAAAGTCAGACACAGAGAAGGAGCATGGGCACAGTTAATGAGACCATGAGACTCCATAGGTTGAAGGACGATAACTTTGCACCTGGACAATGTAAGTGTATAAGGCTTGAGTTAAATTGACTTTCCTCATAGAGACTGAAGGAGGAAAGTATGACTCTGCTGCCTACATGATCATCATTATCATCATCTTTCAGTTAAGATTGTCTACAGTTACTTTTGTCTGCCCCCAATGAAGCTGAGGTTCTGTACTCAAGAAGAGAGTCTATGAGGTTCTACACTTTCTGAATAGGGTATCAGAAGGACGACAGCACTCAACACTGAGTCAAATTCCCTAGACTCTATAGTATAATAAAATACCATGACAAACTTTCTCCCACAAAGTCACAATCTTGGTGGAGGCAGTTGAATGAACATACAGATTTTAATCTGTTTCCTGACAGGTGGACACACATGCAAGTAAAGCCACTTATGTCCTCAATGACACCCGCAGCTCAGGAATAAAAAAATGCTTCTGATGGGTTTGCACAGTTGTGAAGATATTGAGTATGGCCTCCTGTCCTTATTTGCACTCATTTTAAATAGCAGCATGCTTTGTCAAATCCAATGTAGATACTAAGAGTCTGAGGGATGGTCGTGAGATGTCCAGCTCTGGAGTCCTCAGTGCAGGAAAGACATGGACTTGTTGGAGCAGGTCCAGAGGAGGGCCATGGAAATGATCAGAGGAATGGAACACTTATCCTATGAGGACAGGCTGAAAGAGTTCGGATTGTTCAGCCTTGAGAAGAGAAGGCTCCAGGGAGACTTATTGCAGTCTTTGAGTAATTAAAGGGGGCTTATAAGAAAGATGGGAACAGACATTTTAATAGGCCCTGTAGCAAGAGGACAAGGGGTTTTAAACTAAAAGAGGGTAGATTCACACTAGATATAAGAAAGAAATCTTTTTACGCTGAAGGTGGTGTAGCACTGGAACATGTTGACCCAAGAGGTGGTAGATCCCTGGAAACATTCAAAGTCAGGTTGGACAGGGCTTTGAGCAACCTGATCTAGTTGAAGGTGTCCCTGTTCATAGAAGGGGTGCATGGAATAGATGATCTTTAAAGGTCTTTTCGAACCCAAACTATTCTATGATTCTAAGTATGTTCCCAAAGGATGATTCTAAATATGTTCCCAAAAGCCTGTTGCAAAACCAAGTGACCATGAACTTGACATTGTGAAATCACAGCATGGATGCATGATTGAGACATATTTCAGAAAATTCAGCTCCATTTTCAGCCCGATCTAGTAATGACAACGTGCATTGCCACTGATTTTCACCCATGAAGACAAATAAGTTTCTATCATGTTTAATTCAAAAACAGACTAGGACTATGAAATATTTTTTTTCTGTATCAAAATGTGAATTAACTATATAAGAATCTTCCCTCTATGCAGAATTGAGTCAGAGGACTGGTAACAGAAACTGCTCAGTACTGCGCATTATTTGGTGTAATCTGGCCAAAATTTAAAGCAAAATTTAAAAGTTGCTTGCTTCTATTAGACAATGAATAGAAGTAATGAATGTGCTTTTTTAACAGAATAAAAACCCCTTAAACTCTGAGGACTGAATTCCTATCAATTTTCCTTGATTAGATTCTGTAGCATATGCCTTTTGGGAAGGAGAAACTTTTCACTGTAACATTCTGCCATTTAAGTACAAACAGCTGAGCCACTGGAGATATCAAAGTTATCAACAGAAGAGTGCAGCTAATAATATACGTGAAAAATTACCTGCACACTCCCAAGAAATTCTGCTGAGTATTGTTATGGTGTGCTTATGCATATAATGGTTGTGTAGTGTCTGCTTGGTGTTTTATTTGCTTCTGCTAAGTTTTATTTGCATTATTCTGATAAGTCATTAAATTATCTGTCTTCAAGCTGGTTTACATTCAGTGTAAAACAGTTTCAAAAATCTGTTGTAGAAGTGTAATTGTGGGGCATACTCTGGCCAGAACTGCTCCTTTGGTGTGGCAGACATGATTTCTTCTCATTAAGGTCCCCAAAGAGTAGGGCATACATGTAAGGAGCCATATCAATTCGAGTATTTTCTATTGCTAGGAAACAGTAGCAATCTTTTTCATGAATGACCATTTTGGACATGAAAATAAAGAATTCAACAAGCTGTTCAGAAAGCATAAGTACATAATACAACTGTAAGAGGAATTTGCTTATTCCAAATAGTCTTCTTTTATGGCATATAGATGTTATATTTTTTTCTCACTATTTTCTTCCCATTCAACCACAATATAAACTACTAAACCCATCCTCACACATCTCCACAAGCAAATTAAGTACTTTGTTTTGGGATTCATCCACAGAAGTAGGCTGGGTCCATTTCCTGGTGAACAGAATGTAAGACCTCATCAACAACTGTCTGATTAATGATGCACCAAAGAAACCAAGAAACAAAACAATTCTTCTTTTCATAAGTACATAATTTCTTTTAGTATAAGCCAGTAGGACTAGCAAATCTAGAGGGAAAAATGATACAAACTGACATTACAGAATGAATATCTTTTCATCATTTCATAGTACTTTTCTGTTTGTGTTTGTTCCTGTAAATGTAATTGCCTGTGTTCCTGTCTTACCTCATCTTGGGACTTGACCAGCGTTTCAAATGTTTTTTCTCCACTTTCTCCATCTATCATTTTTTTCCGAATCTATTGGCAAGGAAGAAAAAAAAAAAACCCAAACCTAGGTATTACATGTATTATATATATAATACTTCATATAATTGATGATATATAAAATATATATTACATAATACAATATTTCATAAAAACACAGAAAATGGTAATGCATATGAAAACCATAGTTCTTAAAAAAAAAAGTTAAGTTTACAGTTTTCTGAGTTTTCTGATTAAAAGTTGCTATATCCAAACATATACTGAATCAGGAGGGTTATGAAGCAACAATTCTGGTATCCTTTGCATAACAAGAGCATCCCAGAAAACCCCTTGATGTTGGGCAATAGGCAGGGTAGGGATCCTGTGTGGATGAGAAGGAGTTTTGTCTAGCATTAGATGCGCTTCTCAGCATATCTGTGTGATTCTGGTAGCAGCAGTGATTTACAATAACATTTTCATTCCACTCTGATAGCAGTATAAGGTTGAATTTAACAGATACCAATACCGTCACTGTGAAAGAACAATTCCAAGCCAAGTGAAAAAAATGTGTTTAAAAAGTAAAATGTTTTAAAAAGTAAAACATTTATAAAAACTCAATTTTATTTCACAAACCTAACAAACTGTTTTTAAAAATTCTGGTTTCTGAACATATTACAAAATTGTTAACTGAAAAATATACAGTGGAATTTCCTGTCAACACTTAACTTTATTTCTCAGTTCTCTCTCACCACAACAATAAGCTTGTGTTAGTAAGAGATAGGAAAACACTTTTAAAATATTTCAGGTAATATATTAATAGCCTATTAAAAAGTGTTCTGTTCTAAAAAAAACAACTACAAGCCCCCTCAGCAGGAACTGCCAGTTAATGAAGAAGAATTATTTAAATAGCAATTGTAATATCTTTAAAAATTAGAGGAATATAATATGTTGCCCTTGCCCACCAATAATACTGGTTCTCAGTTTGTTTCATTATAGCTTTATCTCTCTTTGAAGTCATCATCTTGACAAATTTAAAGTTGAAATTCATAGCAAAATAGATAGCTGTTCAAAATCTAGAACGTTTATCACTTTTCAGTTATTATACAATGAAGTACAAGCAGCAACAGATACTAAGAAACCAGGTAATCTCACCTCAACTTTAATATCATTTTCCAATTCAGCATCTAGAAAGTCCAGAGTAACAGGCTCCTGGGATTTAGGATTCTGAAGCAGAAGATATTGGATGATCAAATAATAAAGACAGAGTTCTGTAATGTTACAAATCATTCTAATCCCTTCATTTCAAAGGAAGCTACTTAACTGGGCTTACTTACCCATCTATTTTAATTTCTTATAGCATGATTAATTACTAGTGGCCCTTTCTCATTTATTTTATTTTAGTGGGTGGAGAGGTTGATTGACAATTCATACACGAGAGGATCTCAAAGCCTAGTTTTATCAGTAACTGAGCACTGTTTCTCATATGATTAGCAAGACAAAAAAATTGTCATTAGCTGAAACTATTACCTCAAGAATAGCGTGAATTCTGATAATGACATTTCTAGAGGATTATAGCTATACTAACTTATTCACAGGGCAGACTAAAGTCCTTTCTTTCAAAATGGTAATTATATTCCTTCTATCCTAACATTCTCTGGCAAAAGTCTGTGACAAATGTACATGTGACTGTTCTATCAAAGAATGCAAGTGTGTTTCATCGCAATTTATGTATGTAATTCCAGTTCCTACCAGACGAAAGTAACGTCCTGAATAGCTGGTAAAAGATGCCTTCATATAATAGTCTGGAACATTAAGAACTTAACAGCAGTCCCTATTTTCAAGTCTGTAATATGGAATAGCATTAGAAGACAAAAGATTTTTCCTTCATATTCTTGAGGAACGTATGTGTATGTTTCTGGATACATGAAATCATTCCTGTTCTTAGGAAGTAAGACTTACTGTCTGCTAAGATAAAAGCCAATAAACTTATTCTAAGAAAGAAAATATGCCCTGAAAAGATTTCAGACAAAGGTTTTTGGCTATTTCTTTTAAATATCTACTGATAACTTCCAAGCATTTTTTATGTTCCTATTTATACAAGATCGATATAACTAGCCACTTTAGTATAATAGCATTAACATCTACTTTCTACTAATTAAAAAAAAAATAATTATTCTTATGCATTTTCTCCTCCCCCCATCCCCCAACAAATCCACACTCTCAAAATAAATAGCAAAAGGCTAAAATGTAAAAATAAATTAAAAAATATGTTTTCTTACATGCAATGGATAATGAATAGCATGGTCAAACCCAAACAGCATGCATGAAGGCATTGGCATGGCAGAGGAGGCATTTATGAAGTTCACATTTCATTCCAACACACAAAGGAATAGAGAAGAAAAGAAATGTTGAAAAAAAGAAAAAAAAAAAGCCATCACATCAAATCAAGGTCAATATTCATTTCAAATGATAACCTGGGCTAGCCATAGTTAAGGAGCCCCAAAGAGAAAATTGTCAACTTAAACAGTCCTTCAAAGTTCAAGTATACATTAACTGCTTGTTCTTATTCTTTTTAAGACTTAAATCACCATACATGGTTTATAAGGTACTTATTAATGACTTTTAATAGATGAAAAAACTAAGCATGAATAGATACGTTATGTGATGTGCCTGAGGCACAAAGAAATACATTAGAAATTAGAATAGAAAATTCCTAGCCCCGTACTTCAAATGGAAGATTATTTTCCCCGCTATATCTTTTTCCTCCAATAATATGGTTTTAGCAGTATTTGGGCTCCATAATTTTTTCTTCCAAGGTTGCCATTTAGTGGGGTTTATTCTAAGCCCCGAAGAAACAAACTTACTGTGCAGTTTGCTCTTCTCTTTTTCCAGTCATGCATGTGGCATGACTAGAATAAGCGCAACACCACCACATTCACCAGCACAACTTAATAAAACAAAACAGAAGTAAATCACTAGCAATGAAGCATGCAAATAAAGGGAGTGCAATCCATCTTCAGCATGAAAAATAAAGGCAAAGATCTATTACTTCAATGACAAATCAAGAAGGAAACCAAGAAAGAAAGAACTGGTGCAGCAACATAAAAAAAAACCCCATTTATTAAAACGTTGTCATGTTCTGAGGTCAGAATTCTCACAAATTCTATGGAAGTTGTCTTTGCTGTGAGTTGGAGAAGCCTAGTTCCCACTCATGCTTGAAGTACTAATGAAGCCACAGGCTGTTAGGCTTTTAAAATAATTGGATGGTAAGATGGCAGCAAAATCCTGGGTCTCGGAGGGAGCTCAGGAGCATCTGGAGTGGTGGGAGCCTATAGCTGCACCTCCCTGGGCAGCCAGCACAGCCAGGCGAACCCAGCAGCAGGGTGCTCAAAAATTGGAAACTTCATATGTTCCAGTGCTGCTTTCTCCAGTGTATAAACAAAAAAAAATCTAGCCTGGAGGTGGTCTTCTAGACGTGGTATAAACACAACCACCCGAGACTTGGTGAAATCACTGAATTGAATTAGGTCAGGTTTTCACATCATGTTTTAGTGGTGATGTTATGTAGGCCTCTGGTTTTGCATTATATATTCCCATGTGTGTAAGAAATTAACATGGTATATTGTACCTAATTTTGTTATTTTGCTAGTTACATAGATAATCTATTCCTTTAATGATTTTTAAGTTTTCAGTAAGTGTTTTCTGCTCAGCGATTGCGTTGCTAAATGTTACTAATTTCCTTTTCCCTGTTCGCTTAATGGCAGTTAATCCTCCCGAGCTGGATTTGCTAAACTGAGAAACCTGATAGAAGCAGCAGATAAAACATATGCCCTACTCTGACTTGCTCAGAAAAAAAATGAACAGTTAATTTGGATTCTGTCATGTTATACAGCATACACTGTACAATGAAACTTGGCAATAAAACTGTAAGAATGATCTTCTTTTGACTTTGGGTTTATGCAAGCAAAACCAGCACAAGTAGTCTTTTTTTTTTCCAGTCTTCAAATTCATTTCAAAATCTGAAGAATAATTTTTACAGCACGGCTCTAATTAGCACCTATTAGTAAAGCACCATAATTTAATGGAATGCCCTTCACTACAGCCAATAACATGTTTTCTATTATTTAAACAAGGAAGGATGCAAGCTTCATGCTTTTGGAAGCTGTTTTTCAAAGTAAACAGTTCTCTAGTTAGGTTTTTCCTAGTAAGCAGAGCAGAAGCTTTCTAATTGTATTTCCAGGTCTATGCATTCTAATGCACTAATCACCTCCATCCAAAGTTACCTGTACATTGGGTCTCCTTTTTCTCAATTTAACTTTTGGTATGCCCACACCAATTTGCTGAAGTAACAAAAAAGCAGTAATTTTCACACTCTTAGTAAACAGAACACTTATAGAATGGAAGTCTTCCCTACACATCATACTCCCCAGTGCACGTTTACTGGGAGCAGAAGGTAGACCTCATTCCAACCAAGAGTTCAGAGCTCTCTATCAGAATTACACACAGGTTTTGTCCAGGGAAACAAAAACTAGACGTATGTTAAATGATGTGAATTAAGTTATCAGAGAGCTCTTCCCTCTAAGTACTCTGCTAGAATTAAAATATAGAATAAGAAGAGTTTCACTTTTTGTTTACCGTTATAACTAGTCTTAAAACCACCTCTCCTTACATTTCTTTTGAAACTATAAAGCATAAGACAAAATACTGGGCCTATCTGCCTGTGAGCTATTCACCTGTTATCTCTCAGGACAATGGGAAAAATACACACACGTACAGACAGACATACAAAGAAAATTGGTAGAAAAACATAAAATTAAGCATTTGTTTAAAAATGGAATAGAACTACACATACTTGAAAAATGGAATTAGAAACAGTTTAAAACTATATTAAAGTGAAAGTTAAAAAAAATAAATATGGTTTGACATGATTTTTGCTTGCAAATAAGAACATTATGGGAAAGTTCTTACTGATTTTAATGATCTTTTGAACCTGTCATCTGTTAAATTTTCTCAGTTGTGCAAATGACTTTACAAATTCTGAATTTCTAGGGGCTTTTTTTTTTTTTGTAAGATTATACTGCAAGACAATTGACAATTTCCTAAAACATTATGTTGAAGCAGTTTTGATTTGAGGTAACAGATTTTCAGAAGGAAAGCAGAAGACATTGAAGAAGGAACCAGTGAAAGTTTAATAGACCCTCACCTCTTCAAAGGTAAAGATGTAGTTATGTTTAAGTTTACATCTATTGAAAAATTGCTGGCAAAGAGGGTTAAGATGTTGTTTGTTAATAAGTTAACGACTACCAGGTGGTTCAACTAAAATTAATATGACATGTTAAAGAAAGTCCATGAGTTCTAAATACATCTGTCTTTGTAGTGTACCTTAGTTTTAAAACGTAGTTCTTGTATCAGTCTGAATAGCATGCACCACCCCAAACAAACTGGGAGTGAAAAAGTCTAGTCTGTGTAACTGTTAATAACAACAATAACAATAATAATAATGCATATGCTTAATATTACATTTATACATTATTCTACAACATAAAACATAGGACATAAATCTAAATCAAACACTTAAGCAGTATGTAAAAGCATCTCAGGACTTAAATATGTTTTTGAGTAGAAAAGTACACAGAGAAACTGTGACAATTAATTTCCTAATAATCAATTTCAGCCTGCCTAGATTTAGTTGGGATGAGCTGAGTTTTTCACTCTCAAACAAGAGTTCTTTATTCTTCAGTGTTATGAGTTTACACTGTAGCATAATAGCACATATGAGATTAACTGAATCCATACCCATCAGTTCCTCACAAAATTGTGTCTAAAACAAGAATAATACATTGTTTCATTTTATATTCCTTCTGTTAACAAAAAGATAGTTTCATTTGCATATAAGGAAAAGGAAAGTAGACCACTCGCTATCATCTGAGTTTCTAATAATCTCTAATGAGGAAAAGATTCGGTCAGTAATGACGCATATATTTGTCTCAGAATAATTCACCAAGTAAAATCATCAAATCAAAACTTTCATTTTTTAACACATGAAAATCTAATGCATGTGTTGAGAAACTGAAGTTCATCTGAATTATGAAGACTATATAAAAACTTTCTTCTCTTTTTTTTCTTCTTTTCTTTTTAAAAGGATCCTTTCAAAATAAATCAAAAGGGATATTTCATCAATAGTTAAGATCAAGTTATTCTTTCTCTTCTTCAGAAATATTTTTTCTTTCTTCTTTTGTTATACACTTGGCAAAAGATTTCAAACATACTCATTACTCCACCAGGAAATTAATTCACGTATTCACAGTGCTGACTTCCTGCAGTTTAAGAATTAAATGAATCACTAAAATAAGTACACAAATTTCATTTCTTTCTCTGCCTTTGACAGTTCAATACTGAAGTACTAAAAAGGGGCTCTGCTATCCCTCTTGTAGCTATGATAGGACTTTCTGGTGAAGAGACAAGAGAGGACAGTCTCACAGCCCAGAGGTCAAGGACTCGCTGCTATTCCGCCACAGGAACATGGCTGGGAGGAATAAAGTAGTGGATATGCATCCAATTTACAAAACCCCAGTATTTCCATGCCTAAAGGCAGCAAATACAGGCTTCCATTACTTCAGAAGTTTCTCTAAAGTATACTAAGTGCTAAAAAATAACTTAGAGGTAGGGTGCCACTAAAGTTTAAAAGCTTTACTAGCCTTTTTTGCCTGTGTATTGACAGCTTGCATTTAGCTTGGCCATATATTGCTCAAACCATCTTAAGAAGAAATTTTAATATTGCCAACTGAACTACATGAATACATTGTTTGGTCTTCAATACTTTTAGTGATTCATTATTTCTAATTTTTTATCTGTAAACAATCCTTACATCTTTCTCAATCTGGCGAATCGAGATGTATGTTAAATATACTTCTTTTTTTTTTTTTTTAATTTTATCGATAACCAAATTCAGTACAAGGCCATGCTGGCTTTTGTGCTGACTAAACTAGATTTGGATGAAGCCATACATGACATGTACCACAGATTTTCTACTTTTTTATTTTAAGCTTTGCTATTGCTCTCTGGCACTTTCAACAGATCTTAGATGTTTCTGTTATTTGTGACAATGTCCCCTTATTATAGAGAAATAAAATAGAAGGTTTTTCATACCTTTGGTTGGAGATTTGGATGAAGTAGCACATACCCATTAGGATCAATTGCAAAATAGTATCCATTTGGACAAAGCTGAAAGAAAGAAAGAAATTAAATTTATCGTTATAATGTTTTAAGTAATAAAGAAAGATTAATTAATGGTTTTTAAGCAATGGTCCCATTAAGGAAAATGCATTCCCTCAGACATCTTGAAATATGTAGGATATTAACATACAGAAGATAATTTCTTAATATTTACTCTTTTAGAATCATAATCTTGGAGAATAATCTAGGCTCATGGGACCACTGGAGGCTACCTGGTTACAACCTTCACTGAATGCAGAGTTAACTTCAAAATAAAATCCAACTTCATAGTTGAACTAAGTTTTAACGAGTCTTTAAATACTTCCAATAGCAATTCCACAGCCTCTCTGGGCAACCTGCTAAAGTGTTTAACCACCCTCACAATGATTTTTTTTTTTTCCTTATTTCCAGTTGGAATTTCCAATGCCACAACTATGTCGACTGCATCTTGTCTTTTGCTATACATCTTCAAGAAAAGTAGAGGTCCATCTTCTCTATAGCTCCCACTGAGTAACCCATTAGCTTTCTTCAAGTCTGAACAAACCCATCTCTCTTAGCTTCTCCTCATATTCCATGTACTCCAGCCCTTTGGCCAATATAGTGGCTCTGCACTGGACTCTGCCCAGGAGCTCAGTGTATTTCTTGTACTGGGGAGATCAAATTTGGACACAGTACTCCTGATGCAGCCATTCACTGCACAGCTGGCCTCTTTTACTGCTAACATGTCCTCAGCTTGTTTTCCACCATGAACCCCAGGCCCTTCCCTGTCTTTTGAGGTATTCTGTCGCAGCCTGTTCTGTGGTATGGGATTATTCCATTCTAGATGCAGGACTTTGTATTTGCTTTCAGTCAAATTCATGATGCTCTGCTTTTTCAGCTGTTATTTTCCATGGAACTAGTGATGGTCTAGGAAATTCCCTAGCTAGGTGTCTTAACATATAAATAAATCATAATGAAGAGGATTCAGACACACATGTATATTAAATAATTTTCTATAAAGAACTGTCCTACATAAATGCTAAGTCTTATCATTAGATGAAATAATTGTTTACTCTACACTGTGATAAGAACCAAACACTCAACTAAACTGCAGTGCCCTAAGCTACAAAAAAATAATTACTTGGAATATATCACCCAATGTAAAAAATGGCTTTTGCAGATGCATCCTGGTGGACAATTCACACAGAAGCACATATATGGCTGGAGAGAAAACCATCAAAACATCTACAACAATGGAAAATAATATATGAAAAGAAGCCTGCTGGTATTTTGACTCACATCCAGTCACTGCTGCATGACTTATGAAAGAGCATGCAAAGAAATCATACATAAATCAGACATAAAGAGAAACCACTACCACAAGCAACTTACCGTAAATCGGGGTGTCAGTTTTTTTATGTCCTCCAAAGAGACATCAACCCCCATTACTCCAAGAATCAGCTGATTCTGGTAAGATTCCAAAATGTTAGAATATATTTTACATATTTACAATACAGAATAACTGTAGCAGTCAGTAAATTTTGCCTTCGTCTCATGTTTGACAGGCACTACTTGAAAAAATTGCCTATTTACTTATGTTTCTATTGTGAATATTTAAAATAATATAAAAATAATATTCAAAATAACATTCAATACATTCAGAATTTAGTACAGAATATGAAAACTGATTATGAAGATTAGTACGAGTGTTTTCCTGGATGAATAAACAATAAATGTAACAACAAAACAGGTGAAAGAAAAAGTGATGCATTAATAGTGATGATGTAGATACTAAATTACTAGCATCAATATAGAGCTACTATTGCACACTGATGTTGGGCAGTTGATAAGGAAGACTCCAAAACAATTAACCTCTTTTGGGCATGGTATAATGATGAATTAAAAACCTCACAACAAACCCCAAAGAACTCCAGTGACTGTAACAACCATCAAGATTTGAAACTGGGGACTCAGGCACCACACTTACTTCACTTGTAATTTATTTTCCTACTATGGAAAAGGGGCACGGGCATTTACATAGTATCACCTGAATCCTTTCTCCATATTAAATAAATTCAGAATATATATTGGAAGATGCATCTTCCAGTGTGTAACCTAAAATTCAGGTAAAGCCGTAAGTCAAGCAGATTCAAGTTCTCTTCTTGTTCCTCTGTGCTGGACCGCAGCTGTTTTACTTCTCAGAGAAAGACATCCTTTGATAATCAGTAGTCTCTCACCTTGCAACCAGACACAGTGAATTCCAGGCATAATCTTGTAGATTTTTTTTGTTTGGTTGCTTGTGGGGTTTTTTTTGATATTTTTTGTGTGTGTGTGTTTGTGTTTTGGGTTTTTTTTTTTAAGGGAACTAAAAGAACTATTCTGAAAGTAAATAAAATAAATTGTAGTGATCAAATTCACATTTCTCAATTCTGAGTCTATGCAATAACTGAGAAACTGAATCAAGGAATATCTTTTCTAAACTTTGGTATATTTTGACCTGAATGAACATGAGAATCACACCAAATGTACAGTATTTACTACACCCTGTAAAGAATATTCTAGGTCTGAATTTAAAAAGCAGCATTTTGATTTTGTGAAAAGGACATAAATTGATTCCTTATCAGACTGTAATAGAGATGGGGAATTGCATATATTTAATACTTAGATTTTAATCTAAGTGCACAGTACTATTTTCTATTATCATTACAACCAATTAATTTAAATTCTCTACATTATTGCCTTTTACCCTGAAATGTCATAGCTTCACATTTCTGTTATAAAATTATTCGGGCTTCCTTTCTTGGCAAGGGCTAAATAATATCATCATCTACTTCCCATCTATTGAGCACTTAACACCTTCCCACTGCCACCAGGTCACAGAGATAGATCAAGGAATGTCATTCCCTGAAGCTCAGAACTACAAAAGGGTGTTTTTAACCAGGAGGTTATCAGGCAACTAGAGATGACCCCTTTTTTTTTGATGTACAAGACAATTAAACTGTAGAAAGCTCTATGGGAATACATATTTTTCAAGGAGTTTAGCATTATATTTAATTCAATTAATTGATGATTTTTTTTTTTTTTTTTTTTGCTTTACGTAAATGCTTACTATTTTCCCATTTTGTTCCTTTGTTAGATTGAAGACAGGCAGAGTTCCTGTAATCACAAGGCCCAGCTCCTAGGAAATAATCACATATAGAGGGGAGAAAAAGACGTTTTAGTTAAATAACAAATATTGAACTAAAATATATTAAAACAATCCAGGAATTACTATAGCCAAACACTACATTAGAGTACTGACATTAGAGATATGTAACAAAACAGCAGTGGAATGCATGAGGAATAACACCCTCTCCACCCCAAAAAATGTACAGTTAGAGAGGACAGTAATTGTGAATGAATTATGAATAACTGGTAACCATAAAAGTATCTGACAATTCTGTAATTATCTTGCAGAAAGTGAGGCCAGAGCAACCCTGTAACAGAACCTGAAGGAACAGGGCAAGAACAGAGGTGTGAATTGCGACAAATACATCAAATTATTAAAGACAGTCCTGAAAGACAAATTCAAAAGTATCTCTTTAGGATTTCATAACCTGAATGTAAGCTCAATTCAAATGTAATACACTTTGCACTATTTTAACCTTAGCACCAAACCAGGTGCTGGACAGCAAAACAAAAAGCATAGGACAGAGTCCAGTGAGGCACAAGCAGAAAGGCAAACCCTACAGGAAGGAATTGCTTTGGGGAATTTAAGACAAAGAACCAGTGTGACAAGTTAGTACAGTGTGACAAGCATCAGGAAAAGGCTCCAGAGTGGATTAGATACACCTGTGCCTTTATGCTCCCATCTGTGATGAGAAAGTCCACAAATTTCAGCCTTTACCTCAACAGTTTAGTTTGGGTTGGTCTTCACTTAATAAATATTTTAGGAAAAAGAACATGTCCTACTTTTTATAGACATATATGGATGCACACACACAAAAACATATATATACGTATAATTATTTATACACAAACACACATATATAACACATGAATGCAGAAAAGTTTGAAGAAAAGACTGAATGAACCCACTGAAAGTGCAAAGTAACACAACAGAAGTCTGTAGGTATCACAAGTTTTACTTCATGAAATAGATCTCTTTCTATCCCCAGTTATAAATTTAGCTTTGGCTTTACAACAGGATATGAACAGCACATATGAACTTGCATCATAACATCCTTTATGTTTCCAGTAAGTACCTCAACCATAACCAAGAAAACATGGTTAATGAACTTCTGGCTGTTGAAATTCCAAAGAAAAACTAGTTCCTCAGTTCTATGATGCGTTGACAAAAATTTTACAGTAAAGCTGACTGATGGGAAGAAGTGGTTTTGAGTTGACATTAGATGACCATGTGAACTTGGATAAATACTTGATCCCAGATGACCATTTTGCATAAATTTTTGCCTAGATAGAGTTACTCAGAAGAAGGTTATCTAGAGCAACAGATTGGGTTGCTGCTAATAATACTTAGCATTTCGTAGTTTCCTGAATATGTTTGTTTTACAAGACTGAAGTGATAACTTCAGCAGTAAGGAAAGCATTTCATATATCTTTTTGTTTATTTCCCCATTATATACACTGTCAAATTAAAAAAAAAATATTACCTTGAGCAAGCAAGTAATTAAAACAACCATGGAAGTTAGAGTTCAAAATCTGTGCAACTACCAGTAACCTTGACAGGTTTCATTCTGCCTGGAATGCTATAAAAAAAACCCCACAACTCCAGGCCAGTAACATAACAGATAACCTCTACTGCAGCACAGTACAACACTAGAAAACTATTTGTTTCTTTTGTCAGTTTGAGGGAAATGACGACCAACACTTAAAGATCTGTACTAGGATAAATTACTTTTCTCTGTTAAAGTTCAGGACACTTAGGAGGATACTTAGGTGCAAGTAATGACCAGCACATTAGAAATAGCTGTTCAGGAAATTGCTCTATTGAAGTGTATGGGTGCTGGAAATGTAAGAGTGTAAAAGCATTATGTTTGGAACTGTAGGAAATTGAGTCCTGAGGACTGTGATAAATGGACCTCTACAGTTACTGATTTTCTAAGATTCTTACTTTGCTAGAAATAAATACAGATCATACCAGAGCATCCAGATAGACATTTGTCCATTGGACCTGTTTGGCTTTCTCTCCAGCTAAAACCATTGGTCTTCCCAAAACATCCAGATATTCCTGCCAAAAAAATGTAATAAATTTATCAGAGGGCAGTTATTAAATCAAAGTCCAGAAACAGCAAAAAAACCCCCCAATAATAATGAAATAAAAACAACAGATCAGAAAAAGAAGTCAAAATTCACTACTAATACAGGAGTAGTATTTAATAACTTCTTTAAAGTTATACTACCCACCAACTCAGTCTTCAGCATGCAGTATTTACTGCAAAGGCAATTCCTGTGTTTCAGTCTCAGTCACATGGACCTTACACATCCATAACTACTGCTCTTTTTCCACAAAGTGAGAATTACAACTATTTCTGTTTCAAAATTAGCTGCTAATGACATAATGAAATTACAAGCAGATCGCAGAACCTTCAACCCAGAGGAGTGAGTGGGTGATAGAGGGTGAGTGGTGTAACAGCTGGGTATGTTCAGCTCCTACAGCAAGAACTTGCATAACTTCTGTTGAAACAAAAAATCCAGGGTTTGAAAGCCTCATAGTCCCTGCCTTCCTTCAGCTCTGGAGTATGGCTAAAGCTGGTCATCTTATGAGATGTCAGATTTCTGGTCTGGTTTGGGAGTCAATGCCATCAAACTTGTTTCGGTCTTTAACCTTTCTATTTGTCTGATCATATGAGGGATTTTTCTTGCCAGACACTATCTGGAAGAGTTTAACAGAATCAAAGGACTCTTATTCAAGCCAAAAAAAGGACTCATTTTCTGCCAAAAAATGTCATGCCTGGGCTTGGAAGGACAAAGAACTGTTATGATATTTCTCTGCTTTTGTGAATACATGGACTTTCAGACAACTGAAAAGAATATCTCTTCATCTGCACTGTCCTCTTCATCTGCACTGTCAGTTCAGATCATACCACATAATTCCAGGGTCCTGTGCCCTTAATCAGCCACACAATTGGCTGCTAAAACTATCCTGCAGCCTTTTTGAAGGAAAAAAGCTGTATCTCTCCGAGAGTGGTTGAATCAATCTGGAAACCTCTCCTACAAGCAGGATTGTACGAGGTCATTGCTTCTGCTCTGCTGAGTTCAGATACTTGAGCAGGATGATGCCCTCACACACATCCCCAGCCTTCTCCATGTAAATTCCCTTAGGATCATGCAGGAACTATGGCAGGCTATGAATGTCTAGACATGTTATAAAAAACTACTGGCTTTATACAACTTCATAAAAAAAACCCTGTTGTTGTGTCTTAGGATCAAAGAGGCACCATGTAAGGCCAGGGGAAAAACTAAGCCCAAAACATAGTCCTCATGCCGAGAAGGTCTGCAGGATGCAGATCATGTCAAGCGCTATGTTCTGTGCACATGGTCAGCCTGCTTTAGATGATGCGAGCTGCTGTGGGCCAGCTGGCCAGAGAAGCAGGGATCACACTGTAAATTGGCTCACTGCAGCTACTAAAAAAAAATAAAGAAATTGCAATGCTTTAACACAATAATACTTCATATGTAAAAGAAAGCCTTAATTTGTTTTCTCTTTTCTTAATGTAGTGTACCTTAAAATTCAGTTGATTAAAACAGATGAAATATACCATATTTCATAAGAGAAATTAGTCTACTTACTTATGTTCCAACTGTATCTGTGTTTGGCCAGCACACTTACCTGGGTGTTTATTCTTATGGCTCCAATAGATGGAATTTCATAATAATAACCTAAAATATTGGAACAGATAATACCATCTTATTATAATATATTGCTAATCTCTTAATCTTGAGGAATTTCATTTAGCTTGTAATTTCTAATTTAATTTTAATAGAAATTATCATGTATGAATGGAATACTTTTTAAGTAGATGCCACCACAACGCATGGCTACACATGACCTGTCACCATGCCATATAAGGCCAAGCTCATTACTCTTAAGCAGTGAGGGTATATAAAGTGTTTCTTTTTTCTGTTGTTTCTGAAGATGAGATAATGTACTGAATTTGTACTCCTGAATTTCCAGTTACTCCGATGTGCAAGTATATGTAATGGTCATTTTAATACACTGTGACAGCACTTTAATTATATGCTGGATGCACGTAGGAATAAGAATATGGCTACAGTCTGGCACAACAGTGAAGTTCATAGCAGAAAAATATAAGGCGCTCTGTGGAAAAGATGAAAAAAATCAAACTGTTATTTCTTCTAGCTAAGCATCAGAAATGTTTTTATTCATCACTGATTATATCACTTATTTGTTCAAATTAAAACTATTGCCCACATGCACCAATAAGACTGAAAAGCCAGGCACTGAGATCCGGGTTCAGACCAAGTAAGTTTTAAGTCAAATTGGAAGGCAGTGGGGAGGCCCAGAGAAGTAAGAGTACTGAGGTACTTTGCCATAACCAATGTGTGATGATATTAAATTAAAACTTTTAATTAAGGAAAAATTGGATGTGCAAGCAAGTAATCACATCAGTTTTGGACATAAGATTCTGATCATTTTGCCTTGATAGTAAGATGACATAGGTGATTACACTTTAAGCCAGCTGGTCCTTGTTTGTTTTAAAACAATGGAGTTCACATGCACATGGTATTCTGAGATACAAAGACATTAGTTAGAAAATCCCTGTTCAAAATATCAAATGTTGATTTTCTGTAATTATCTGACAATACAATCTGTTCCTCATGAAGTTGTAATACCTTCTGCATAACTTGCCAGCATAGTGAGGCATTCATGAGGCTATGATACGTACGCTATTCATATAGGCTAAGGATTCTTCTATATAATTTTTTTCCTGTATCTATATCTTTCTCTTACCTTTGGTTTATGTTATTCTCATGCCAGAGAATCATATCTTATCCTCCTTTCCTGGCACTCTTAATTTTCAAGACCCTTTGTAATCTATCCCACCTCTCACCTCTTGCTTCTTACTGATTTGTAAAATACTGTCATATTTTCAGTCAGGTCTGGAAATTGCTAATTTAAAATATTAAACAATATTGTTTGATAATTTATCTTTTTTTCTATATATCTGTATTTACCTCTTATCTTTTCTTCCATAATTATACTATAGTGTATTTGAGACACCTCTTTTTCACACGCTCTTTAAATGTTTCTGACCGTATTTTGCATGCAGAAATTTTAAGAGAAAGCATTTTACTTCCTTACTTTCAGCTTTTAAACTGTTTTGGTTTTTTTTTTTTCTATATAAGGAAATCAGGATAAAAATAAAAAATATAAGATTTTCTTAGAAGCCAAGAAATCACAGATTTTTTTTCTGTGACAGAATAATTTTTAGTTTTGGAGAAAAGCAGAAAGAAATCCAACCAGCCAACAAACCAAACAAAAAGTTCCTTTGTCCAGACCCCTTAATATAAAACAGCTTTGCTTAATTTCTTATCTGTCATCAGTTCCATCTTTTCATAGATGGTTATTACAACAAGATTTCTCAAAACTGAACCATAATGTATTATTATTATAATTAAAAATACTCTGATGTTTTTCTTATAATATAAAATTCTAAATTGTCAAAAATAAGTAAGTATGAGCATTCTTTATACATATATATATACATACAAAGATTATTTAATCAAATAACTTTTTGGAATTTTTACTAAAAATACAATAAAACTAAAAATTAGGCTGAAAAAAAATCTGCAATTTTTAGAGAATAATAAAGATATTTCCTATCCAAAGCTCTAGTAAAGAATAGTCTCAAAGAAAAATGCAGTACCTTTATTTTCACAAGCCATCCACTGTATGGGTCCTTTGTCATAATTATGTTGACCAACAGAAAATGTGAACACACGTACCTATACAAGTTAAAAAATAATGTATATAACTGATGTCATTAATTAGCTATGACTCTCAAGTTAGTGATACTTGGACTTTTTATACAACTGAACAGAAAAAGAAAACTGTGAATTATTCACTTTTTATCACCATAGTAGATACACTTTTATAATTATATTTTACGTATTGCTGTTATTTGGTCCATGAAGTGGAAAACATGAAGAATGTTCTTTCATACATCTTTCATTTTTTTCAATGAAATTCAAAAATTCTTTTTTTTTCTTTTTTTTTTTTTCCTAGTGTGATAAGTATACCTTTTCAGGTTTTGTTAAATTAGTTGGCTCATTTCAGAATTAGACGCTCACCAATAAATTAAAATGAACATATGCATCACAGCAGATAAAATAAACCCCAAAATCAGTATTCCTGTATAGAAATTTAAAATTCTACAAGACACATAGAGAAACTAAAATATTTTGTTTCAGTTCCTGGCTGAATATTTTGCTTCAAAGCTGAGTGTTTCTGTAAAAGGTGGGGAAAAATATTTTCCCAACAGTTTTAATAAGCTGTTCACTGTTGTCATGTCCTTCTGAAGGAATGTCAAAGTATTGGGCTGCCTTTCCTTTTCAGGCATCTCTTTCTTTATGGGCCTTTAAATTTACAGATCATAACATGAAATCTTAATATAAAATCCTTTTTACAGAACTTGATGACCATATTTAAAATTAAACCATAATATAATTAATTTACATGCAGTCTCTAATATGGTAATGTTTTCTTTAAATAATAGTCACAATAAAGCACTGCAGAGACTCCTTGTAAACTACTGGTCATTGCTAAGTTTTTAAATGGTTATTTATACAACTTTTTGTCACATTATTTATCATGTGTGATTACTACCTATACATTCATTTGTCAAATGAGCAACAAAAACTGTGTGACACAATCAGAGCTTATGTATTAACCAAGAGCTGTAGGAATAACTCCAAATCATCAGTCAGCAGGTAGCAATTGACAGAACTTTATTAGTCTTGACCCCTATCTGCAAAGAAGGTGAACAAAGCTTTGTGCTAGATGTCATTTTTAATTAACAATACATTTTGATTTGCTTTATCCATACAAAACCTTAGTTTCTGCAGTTAAAAGCAGAATTAAAGCAGCTGCTCTTAATGCTGATTCAGGTTCTTGTTTAAATACAAATTTTAAGCCTTAAAAAAATTTGAAGGCTTTCATTAAAACTAAGATTATCCCATGCAGGATCATTTCTCAGTAATAGGTCAAGACAATTATAGTTCTAGTTATTTAGAGAGGTGTGGGAATGACTGTACATGTGTGATGGCAAAATTTTTTTCTCATAATTCATATGGATAGAGACAGATGAAAAATGCCTTCTATTACCTTGAAAATATCAATATTGATACTGCAAATATGACTTCACCTGATATGTCTACATCTCATTTATTTTTTTAATACTGTATCACATTGTAAATTCAAGTTACAATTGCCATCCCCTGCACAATTGTTCTTGACCTCTTTTACACAATGTCAGCTATAAATCTTCTAATGGATCTTTCTGTTTCTATTTAATCACTATCTATTTTTTGCACGCTGAATATTGGTATTCTATTGGTATCTCTCAGCTCACAAGGTCCCTCCCTAGTATACTCCTGTCCTTTTTTTTGGACTGACCACTGCTCCCAGTTCAGTGTCCACTAAACACTTGATTCAGATTACATTCTTCTCAAAAATTACTGTGCAATAAGAAAAACTCAACTGAAGGCCACTAGTTAGATAGTTGAGTGACCTGATGTCTCCTTTGGATTAAAAGTAAGTAATTAAGTTAAGATAGAGTCATGCGGGTTTCCTTGTGTGTGCATAAAACACGAGTCAATTACTCTGGTCTGTCTACCATTTGATCTCGAATGTAAAAATGAAGGACTGCATTGTGTTCAAGCTGCAAAATAGTATGTAATTTTGGGAAAAGAAGCAGCATGTTAAATCTGCAACCAATCTATAAAGAATTTAGGATTTAAATTATTGACAACAAGCAGAGGACAATATATCTGATTTACTGTTCCTTGGATAATTAACAGAGATAAAGAACTGCAACAAAAATTGGAGTTTTTAATTGTTACTTGGTTTGGCAAGAGGGTGGAACATTCAAAAGAGTTTTCTTTTTCCTATTGCCTCATCTGGAATTGAGTAGAATGACAGACCAGCTGGAAAAATGAGTCAGCAAGTCAAATTAAACAAGCCAATTTTAGCAAAAAAACATGCTATGTGCTAACATTTTCTGTGACAGGACCTAGAGTCAGCCAAAGGACCGAGGTGTGTCTGTCTATACATTTTCCTTATAGACATCTCTCCAAAGAAGACAAAAGGCTTTTAAACTAAAAAAGACAGGATTAATTACTTTTAATAGGAAATTTATGACTAAGAAAACTTGGAGCAACTAGATCAGACACAATGGATATGAGCACCTCTCCCTTTGTCTGTTCTTCTTTTTAAGTTTGGTTACAACCAACTAAGTGGATTTCTGAGTTGAAGCAAATTGCCAAGTACTCTTTGATCCCAAGAAGTTGTTTTCCATCACCGCCAAGGCCTGGTTATTTCTTCTCTGTGCTTTTCTGCAGCCTCTTTCTTCTACACACACTACAGGTTCCTGGGTCCTTTTGCTATGATTTTTGCCTCCACCATTTGCACCAGCAGATGGACACTTCTGTCCCCCAAACCATTTCCCAGGGACAGTGCAACCTTGCCTCCATACAGGGGAGATCCATTTATTCTCTTCATAAAGAAACATAATTTTTGAATCAATAAAACACAATGAAACTTTCAGGAAAACAAATAGGAGCCGTCACACTTTCTGATTTTCAATGGGACTATTCTAAGTACTTCCAGAAATCTCATACCCTTAGAATGGAGAAGAACTAGAGACAGCTGCTATGCCAGCCCAGTCAGATACAGTCCTGAAACAGTTCTGAAATGTAAGAGTCCTAATTCCTACCACCAAATGTTCAACTCCAGAGCTGTGTTAGTTCTGTCAGGCATATATCACATGCTGGCAATGGGTAGCTAATCTTCTGTATTTGTCTCACTGAAACTAACCTTGGGGATAAAACGATTGTTCATTTTATCCCCAACTAACCTTGGGGATAAAACGATTGTTCATTTACAGTATATAGTAGAACAGTATATTTATTGACATGCAAAACAATTGTAGAATTAATGTAAGGACAGTCAGACAGCGAGTAGCACGGGCTGCCCAGAGAGGCTGTGAAATCTGCCTTCTTTGGGGATTTAAAGACCAGACTTGATAAAGCCCTGAGCAACCTGGCTTGATCTTATTCCTGACATTGGATTGGAGACCTCCTGAGGTCCCTTACAACTTGACTTATCCTAGGATTCTATGAATGACATCAATAGAAAACAAGCAAAAATCCAATTCCTAATCAGAGGAAGTGGTAGACAAAAAAGAAAACTACAGAAAACAGAGGAAGAAGTTTTTGTATTGTTTTGAAGAAAATACAATTGCTTGATTATGTTTTTGCTTTGTATTTCTCTCTAGCAGAAAAAGCTCATCAAATTCAAGGTGAATAGAAGGATTCTGACTGCTACAGATATTAGGAGATAATGACACTTCAGAGAGTTGTGATAAAGATGGAAATTAAGAGCTACCCGTGAAAAAGTTGCTTTTCCTACAGATCTCAGTTGCTTTTAACCTATCTTATTTCTTCATTTTGCTAGTAGAATAAAAATAAAGCAAGATTAAATTAGACTTTTCCTTCGGGTGTATCATGTTCTGAGTATTACAAAAATGAACAACTTGAATGAAGTTAATTCAAAGTGGTAACTAAGCACAAAAATCACCCTTGCTCTTTAAATCACTGCATATATGTGTAGGCAGCACGTGTAGACCTATGAGAGTTTGCGGAACTGCAACCACTCTTTAAGCAGTTCAGAGTGGACAAACATGCACATTTTTGACAGATAAATTATTTTTCTTGAATTCTGTGCTTCTGCAATGAGAGAGCTCTCAATAACCATTTACATGCATCTTTTTATTATTCTGTTTAGGAGAAGACTAACTGACCTTTGGAGATATATACGTTTCCTTATCAGATATTAAAAGAGCTACACAATGAATTTACTTAACTAGATGTAGGCAATTTTCTGTCTGTCATGTAAAACCAGCAAGAGTGCATCTTTCTCTACCGCTAGATAAAAAAATCTTACTAAGGCAAAAATTGATCTCATCAAACCATGCAACTTCAGTTTGCATGATCACGGTATGATTTCAGATTATTTTAATCTGGCCTTCACAGGCAAAGATTCACAGATACTCTCTTTTACTCTAGATCAAGAGAAAATGTAATATAGAGGAATAATGCAGTAATTCTAGCATGATCCAGGAAATTATTTTTTCCACTAATGTGTGTATAGATTATCTGATCTGATGAAAACTTGTTTGAAGTTTATATTTAATAGGTACACTTCTGAAATAAGAGGACAATACACAAAACCTTTTTTTCTGGACAAAATTATTAACCTGCTTTTCTAAATTCCATTCTGCACTCCATCTTCTAAATTGCTTGAAAATATAGCCTTTAACCACTTAACCATTTTGGTACTCTTCTGCTGTATGTCAGGGAAATGTTATGTGGTTTTCAAGCTGCCACAGTTAAAACAATAAATCCATTTTTTTTACTTACTGTCTTTACATCTGTGGGCAGAAATCTGAAGCTGATTTTGTCTTCGGCTATGAAGTAACTGAGACCAGAAGCCATGTATGACAAATTTGCACTGAGAACAGAACTTCAGAGGACTATCTGAAAATCCTAGATACAAATTAGGAAACCACCTAGGAATAGCCATTAGGAAGCACCAAATACAGAGTTTCACCTAGATTCTGATCCATCATCTGTCATGCTGAACTGTGCAATTCAGGAATTCCAGGGATGCAGTCCTGAACCATTTGGGTTATATCTATAAATGTAAAGCAGCTTTGTTTTCCTAGGAA